ACGGGGGGGCGCAATGCAAATAACGCCGTTACCGTCCCAAGTCGCATAGTGCCTGCGACGAGCCTGCGTGCCGTTTCACTATACATACACTACGCCCGCTACTGCTACTGCTACTGCTACTGCTACATGCTAAGTGCTGACTGACTTTGCTGCTGGCCGTCTGTCGATTCCAGCACACGCCTCACCTCACATTCTTATACACCCAGCAGCTGGATTGGCTTGCAGGTGACATCCGACGTAGGAAGACCTGCACCCCCGCCACAGAAGCCCTTTGCACCACCCACGCCCGCCGCTTCATACCCCAGGAGCCCTATCTGCCCCAGACGCAACACACGGGCCAGTACACGTTGACTTGTGTACCCGTAGACCAAGGCCTATTTATATTGTCGTCATTCGTTGCATCTGATCTTACCGAGCCCAGCCAACCCCCGGGCCTGGGAACAGGCGCTCGTACGCCTCAGGGAATGAGCAGGCCAAATGATCATGGTACGTCAAATGACCCTCTTCCCCGGATCCTCATGCCGATGCCTTTTCCTTCTTAACGGCGTGTACCACTGGCGCGCGCTCAGCAGCAGCCATTGTACATAGGCCACACCGCTCTGCTCTGCCACTGCCCTCCAACACGAACTCGAACCCCCCGAAAGAGCACCCGTACGAGGCTACGTCCTTGTGTCGGTCCCCGCTAAGCCTGCCCTGCACACTTTGACATTTACCCACCCTCCCCGTACACCGTGTTCTATCGTCGGGCCATCGTCTTTGTTGGTCAGCTAATTGGCATTTGCCCATCGCACCTGCCTACATACATATACATACATACATGGGTTCATTGGCTGACGTCCTGACCCCACCAGGCTCTCTATCAGAAGAAGCACCCTTCGACTCCCTGTCGCAATCAGAGCCCATCGCCGAATATGCCCCGCTGGTCAAGACGAAAAGCACCCCGAGCCTGCTCAACTACCGCTCAGGCCCTCCGCCGCCCTTAAATACCGCAAAGCGCCTGAGCATCGATGCAGGACAATTAGACCGCATGGCTAGGTGAGTAGTTGGAGTAGTGGTAATGGCAGTAGTGGGGGAAAGGGCCTCCCTCATTCGCTTAATGGCGAGTAGTCATTATCGCTGACGCGTCTGCCTCAGGTCTCCCATCGTTCCAGAACATGAGCATGGCCTAGGGTCCTCCGGCCTGCGTCGAATCCGCCAACAGCCAAGTCACAAGCAACTCTCAACATCTCAACGGGCTGCTTCCTTGAACATTGGCACTCCGCCAGTGTCGAGACACCCCTCCGAGTCGGCGCCCACGGCACCCGCCTCGCCAACATTTGCTTTTGGCGAAGATCTCTCTCGTTTCCCCTCCGAATCGCTTCATTCCTTCTCATTTGCAACGCAGTCAGAAGAGTTTATTCACAATCGCCAGAATGTGCTGAAACGATCCATAGAGTTTATGCGTGACAGGCTAGGCTGGGCAGCAACAAATCCTGGGATAGCAAACGCCCAAGCAAAACTCAGTGGCGACCAGGAGGTGCAGAGTATGATGGAGCTGCTTACTCGAGCAAACCTCATTGGACAAGATGGCACAGGAGCCCATGGGCTAGGTGCACTGGGTCCTGTAACGGGGCCAGCCGACATGTCGGGAAACAATCCCTTTGAGAAGGGCTTCATGGCCGAACGCTCAGTGAGCCCAGAGAGCATGCTTGAACCTGCAAGGCCATCGCTACACCGAGTGACGACGGTCGATGGCGGCGACTCTAGCAGCGCCTCAGACTCCCGAGGCGCGCGAAGCTCGTCGAGTACTGATCGTACTTCTGACACCTCAAGCACACGCACACCAGCAGCCCCGTCTTCACCCCCACCAACCTCGCAACCTCCTCGGCCGCAGCGAGCTGCCCTGAAACGTACACTTACCGATGTCGTGCCCCTCACCATACAAAGCCAACTCAATGACGCTTTAGCACAGCCCTACCGGGTAGGGGATCAAGAAAAAGTCAGCGATCTGGTATCACCTACGACAATGCCCTCCTTGACACCGAGTTTCAGCAATGCATCAGTTCAACATTCTGTCGGAGCTGCGCCGCATGGCCACGGCAGCAGACACGTTCCAGCCGCACAGGCCATCTTCACCACCGAAACGGAATCACCATGGACGATCACGTCCGCCAATGACCTGGCGTGCTTGGTCTTTGGCGTTACGAGGGCTGAAGTCCGCAAGCTGGGCATACTCGAGGTTGTACGAGAGGATCGCAGAAAATGGCTAGAGAGCAAGTTGAGAGACCCTGAGGTTGGCTCAAAGAATGCACAATCGGCAGCGTCACCCGGCACGAACAACTTGAAGGTTGGCAGCGGTGTCACAGCGCGGTTGCTGAGTAAGGCACCGTCGCGGGTAACAGCTGCGAGAAAGGCCAAGACAGACGACGGCAGTGGATCATCCTACTACAACGCCAAGAAGACGGGTAAGCTGAACCATGAATCCAAGGGCTCGAGGGGCGTGTTGCTATGCGGCGACGTGATCCCTATCCAAAAACGTAATGGTTCTACAGGGTCTGCCAGCTTGTGGGTCAAGGAGAAGCGGGGTAGCCTGATCTGGGTGCTTGAGGAGATTGCGGAAGACGTTGTGTACATCACCGTTGACGAAGTAGGCTGCGTATCCAAGGGCTGGGGCGCGACAGAAGCCGTCTTCGGGAGCGACCGATTACGACGAGGAATGGATCTCAAGCGGCTGATACCTGGCATACCGCGACTTCGAGGTACAAACACTGGAGCATTAGACTATGATTCGATCGATGAGTTCCGCAGCTACACAGCTCGAACATCAAACAGCATCAACATACCAGTAACTGTGGAGGCACTACCCGGCGAGCCAACATTCCGTATCTCAAGTTTCCCGCACATTGCCGGTATCATTGTTCTAAATTCTGCCGACCTAAAAATCACAAGCTCCAATTCCGTCTTTTCATCAGCTTTGTTCGGCCAGCCGCGGCCTGAAGGTATCCATGTCAGTAAGCTCATACCTGCGTTCGACAGGATTTTACACGTCATGACGGACGAGGATAAGATTGAGCTGGTGGACGGCATCGTTATCCCCGAACACAGCTTCCGCCGCGCTCGAGCCCTGCTGGCTATGCGGGAAGGCAGCGCAGATGCTGCTGCTATTTTCTTGAAGCCAAGCGGCCTGCCAGCTCTCCACCGTGATGGTTCTGAAATTATGGTTGACGTACAAATGCGGGTAGTCAAGAGCGAGAAGACGCCTCGCTTCGATGAAAACGTGATTGAAGAGGAAGACGGGTCGTCGCCCAAACCAACCAAAGGTCCAGAGCTGGTTTACGCATTATGGATAACCTACTCCAGGCAACTGCATGCTGCGAACCATGGTATTGGGCCCGTGACTCCGCTATTGTCTCGCCCACCCTCGCCCCGCCAACTTCAACCTGGCCAATCGAGTTTTCCTATTCCTCACGAACCAGAATCACATCAATCACAGGGTGCACCGACCTCTGTATCGCTTATAACCCAGCAAATACAAGAGGCTATGCAACCCATGAACCCTCCTGAACCCTCAACGCAAGCCCCACCATCAGCTCCAATGCAAGAAGAACCACCCCACAAGAAGACTATCAACGACTTTGTTGTGCTGGAAGAAATGGGACAGGGTGCATACGGCCAAGTCAAGCTCTGTCGGTACAAGAAGGCTAGTAACAAGAAGGTGGTGATCAAATACGTTACAAAGAGGCGCATTCTCGTCGATACGTGGACGCGAGACCGGAGGTTAGGAACTGTTCCCCTCGAAATTCACGTGCTAGATTACCTCCGCCGCGATGGCTTCAAACACCCCAATATTGTCGAAATGGCCGATTTTTTCGAGGACGATATCAATTACTACATTGAGATGATACCGCATGGCCTGCCAGGCATGGATTTGTTTGACTACATTGAGCTACGGGTTAACATGGAAGAGAAGGAGTGCCGCAAGATTTTTGTTCAGGTTGCCGAAGCGATACACCACCTGCATACAAAGGCCAAGGTTGTACATCGCGACATCAAGGACGAGAACGTGGTACTGGATGGCGAAGGCAATATCAAGCTTATTGATTTTGGCAGCGCAGCATATATTAAGAGCGGGCCTTTTGACGTCTTTGTTGGCACCATTGGTACGTCTTTTTGCTTTTTAACCCCTGAGATTTCCGCCTGCGTACTAATGATACCCCAAACAGACTACGCCGCCCCCGAGGTTCTAGCCGGCAAAGCCTACCGCGGCAAAGAACAAGACGTCTGGGCCCTAGGAATCCTCCTCTACACCATCATCTACAAGGAAAACCCCTTCTACTCGATTGACGAAATCATGGACCACGACCTCCGCGTCCCCTGGGTCATGTCCGAAGAAAGTATCGATTTGGTCCGCTTAATGCTGGACCGTGATGTCGAAAAGAGGATCACGATTAGTATGGTGCTTGAGCACCCGTGGTGTAAGGGTGTGAGTGGTGGTGAGCTGACGCCTACTGCTGCTACGGCACCGACTGCCGCGCTGCCGGCGCCTGCGACTGCGACTGCGAGTACAAGTGCTTCAGGTGTTGTGGGTGAAGTAGATGGATAGATGTGCAGTGAAGAGAAAGAAAAAGCTCCCCCATTTAGAGAGATGGTGTCGGAGAGGGATGAGCAATATAGAAAATGACCTCTTTCTTTCTTTCTTCTGTTCCTTTACCTTTCTTTCGACTTTTTCATTTTTCTTTCTTCCTTTGAACGACGTATTTTGATACCTTCATTACTTTCGTTTTCCAGAACTGTTGGATCTTGATATCAAGGAATTTGGGCATATTAGGGTAGTCTAGGGACAAATACATGGCAAAAATCCAGCGAGTCCAATTCATGCCTTTTTTTGGGTTGATAGATGGGGATCAGATGTATAGAGAGGGTTGATTCGGGACATTCGCTTTTCTAACGACCCTTTCTTTTCCTCTCTACAATCACTTTGGTACTGTCAATCACACTTTTTCGATGTGTCGTAGAAGATTACAGTTCGTTAATATTTGATTGGTGATTTCTCTTCTTCTTCTTCGATCTCTCGTCCTCATCACCGACCCTAGAATCCAAGAAAAGTACTCTACTAATCGTACAGTGATGCGTTTCTTACAATGCAAAAAAGAGGCTAAGATAGTAGCCCTACACATGGAACTCGTTCAAGAGTGGAATGGAATACCCCCCCCCCCCGGGGATTGTCCTAGCAAATGCCCTAGCTCGCCCATGCCTATAAACACATGCCTTCATATCGTAGTGGAAGGAAAAATCAAAGAAATGAACTACATTTTCATCACCTACTGTTGTCCAGATCCTTGAATGTGGCTGGGCTGGGTGGTACAAGAGGACCCTTGACGCCGTCGTCACCCTTTGGTTCTATGTATCCAGGCGCTTTGCCGTACTCGCCCGAGAAGTATTTGTGGAAATCTTGGCTGTCTTCGAAGGGTCGGGGACCAAGCAGCCTGATCATGTCCTCACGGCCGAGCATTTCCTTCCTTAGCAGCTCTTCAGCGACCAAGCCTACTTCGTGCTTCTTCTCTGTGAGCAAGTCTTTGCATTGCTTGTAGGCCTCATCTACGATGCGCTTGACTTCCATGTCGATGTTCTTGGCTGTGTCTTCTGAGAAGGGCTTGGTGAGTTGCTGGCCCTCGCCATCTTCAAAGTAGATGTAGCCGATCTTCTTGCTCATACCCCATTTGCTGACCATTGCAGTGGCCATCTGGGTGACCTTGCGGAAATCGTCAGACGCACCGGATGTGACGGTGTCGAAATGGAGTTCTTCAGAAACACGTCCGCCGAGTGTCATCGCCATACGGTCCATGAGCTGATTTACGTTCATAAGGTAAGTGTCACCATTAGGAAGATATTGGGCATAGCCTAGTGCACCTTGGCCACGGGGGATAATGGAGACCTTGAGAAGAGGGTCCGCCCACTTGAAGTACCAACCGCAGATAGCGTGGCCAGCTTCGTGGTAAGCGACAGTCTTCTTCTCTTCGGGCTTAAGGACCAGAGACTTCTTCTCAAGACCACCAATGACTCGCTCAATGGCCTGTTCGAAATGCACCATGGCGACAGTCTCCGCGTTCGCACGGGCGGCTGACGAGTATTAGCAATAGAGTGTATAATCAGGATGTGGAATTCCTACCAATCAAAGCAGCTTCGTTGACGCAGTTGGCAATGTCAGCACCAGAAAAGCCTGGTGTCAAAGCTGCTAGCCTGCCCTTCAGGAACTCCATGTCTTCCTTGGTGACAATCTTCTTCAGATGGACACCGAAGATCTGGCCACGGCCGTCCATAGTGGGCTTGTCAATGTTGATATGCCTATCGAAACGACCCGGTCGCATAAGGGCCTTATCCAGAACGTCCGGTCGATTGGTACCTGCAAGGACAACTACTTGCTCAGTGGTATTGAAACCATCCATCTCAGTGAGGATCTGATTGAGGGTGGCTTCACGCTCGTCGTTACCACCACCAAAGTTTTGTTTCGAACGAGCACGACCAATGGCATCGATTTCATCAATGAAAATGATGCATGGTGTGCTCTTACGCGCATTGGCAAACAGGTCTCTGACTCGCGAAGCACCAACACCTACGAACATCTCGACGAACTCTGATCCACTGACACTGAAGAAGGGTACACCCGACTCTCCAGCGGTAGCCTTGGCAAGAAGTGTCTTACCAGTACCCGGGGATCCAGAGAGAATGGCACCACGAGGGATCTTTGCACCGAGCTTCTGGAATCGGCCGGGATCCTTGAGAAAGGAGACAAACTCCATAATCTCCTGCTTGGCCTCATCCATGCCAGCAACGTCACTAAACTTGACCTTGACGTCCGTCTCATGGTTGAACTTCTTAGCGCGGCTCTTGCCCATACCAAAGACACCACCGCCTCCTCCTGCACCGCCTCCTGCACGCCTTGTAAAGTAGAAGAGTGCTCCAAGAAGGAGAATGGTAGGGCCGAATGACAAGAAAGTGCCAAACCAGGATATTTCGTTCGAGTAGGCGACAGGGATGCGCTCAGAGCTGGGGATACCAAGTTCATATTGAGCATCGTCCATTTTGCGTTCAAAAGCCTCGACCGAGCCAATGGTGAAGTAGTAGTAGAAGTTCTGGTTAACAGAGGGAGAGTCGGGGTACATGGAAGCAACAGCCTCGCGATGTAGGTGCACCTTTGCCTTATTGCCGTTGAGAATGACAATCTTCTCAACCAGCCCCTTGTCTAAGAAGGTAGTTCGGAACTCCTGCCATGTAATCTCTTTGGTGTTTTCGCCCGGGAAAACCATCTTGTAGGTAAGGTATGCGAGGAAAGCACTGATAAGTAGGGTGTTTGTGTCCATACCGCCGCCAAATTGGGGTCCGGGTGGTCCACCAGCACCACCCTTGGAGCCCTTGCCTGGGCCTGGGTCGTGTGCACCCGACTTTTGTTGTGGCTCTTGTGGGTTATCATTGTTGAACTTTTGCTGCTCGGCAGCCTTGCGGGCCATGTTGGTGGTTAAGCGCGAGATCTTCGCCGCTGTGGCCAGATCCAGCTTCTCGCCTCTTTCTAACTTGTCCATCTCTAGGCGGAGCTCGGGTGGTATGCCGTTTCGCTTGATTTCCTCCATTGCGTCCTTGATATTCTGCTTCTGAGCCTTCGGGACGCCCATGGACACAAATGACACCAGCTGATCCAGCATCTTTTCCTCCTCTGGGGTCAGTTTAGCCATCTGAGGCTGTCCTTGGCTGTCCTTATCTGTTCTCGAAGGTTCATTAGAACCAGGTCTCTCAGAATGACCATCCTTCTGTGCCGAGTCATCGTCCTTCTTGTTCTTTGGCTCCTCTGGCGGTCCTGTCGCAAATCTCCGGGCGCGTTGCTGGGTGTATATACATTGTGGCAGTGGTGCGCGTATCCGTAATGTGCGTGGTGCTCTTGTGACGGCAGCGTTGAAGTAGGGTCGGGAAAGGCGGGCGAGGTTGCCTGATTGTCGGAGGAGGGTTGACATGGCAGCGGTGGCCTAAGCTAAATGATGGATGGGGGAGGGGCTACAATAAGTGACTCGGGATTGGGGTATTATACAGTGAAGGCGGGTAAAGAAAGGGAATTAAGACGGCGAGTGACTGGGAAATCCGCGCCTGAATGGATTGAACAGTACTGCCGCGCGCTGGCAGGAGGAGAGTCTTTGTAGCGGGTGCGCCCTTGATGGCAAAAGCTAAGATATGACAGAATCATCGAAGTTCCTCGCATCGCCGACACGCCGACTGACTAAGCGGGGTCCGGCCAGCCAGCCTGAACGCGTTTCCTCATGGATTAGACGTATCAGGTTAGCGTAGACGCTATGTAAATATCAATGCTTTACTTTCACTTCATCCTACTTCGAGATTCGTTAGATAAAGGCATACTCTTCTGATAATAAAACATAGTTACAACAAGTCCAAAAAGTGGTTTTTTTTTCTGTCAGTGGAAACGGAGTTCAATAAGTTAGCTTGCGTAGCACTCTGTCCCCACCTAACCTCGCCCACGGTAGCTGGGACTAACTCTTACCAAATCTCTACGTGCATACTGCTATGTCTGCCTATGGCTCACAATATCGCTACCTAATGGTGAATTCTTTACTCTCTCATCAGCCGGTCTGAGCTCGCTTAGTCAACACAATGCTGTTATTTCATTTTCACCCATGCAACCTTCTTGTCATAGGCTATACGCCACGCATACTATACCTTTATCGTCCCAGCACTGTAGTGTGACTCTTGAGAATTCGCATCAACATGAATACCTATCCAAAAATCTCCCTTGCGGAGCTTCCAGATGGCTCCCAACTGCAAATGAACTTTCCCGATACAACTTGGTTTAAGACTCATGGAAAAACACAACAATTCCCGACACACGAACACTTACTTTCCCTCGTTCCAAAGGATTCTCATTCAAACATAGTGAAGTTTGAAGACCTCGGTCTTGTTGTCAAATTCGGACGACGTGTCACTACAACGGAGGCCATCAACCTTTGGGCTGTTCGTAGAATCTTCCAGGAAGCTGTTCCGGTGCCGGAGCTTTATGGATGAAGAGTTCTTGAACAGGAAGGAAAGGGCCCCTACGTCTTCATCTACATGAAACTCATCCAGGGCCCCACGCTCCGAGAGCGATGGCCTGAGCTGTCAAGCGCTGACAAGCAAGCAATCTGTACTGATCTACGTGCCATGGTATCTTCTCTTCGGAGCCTCCGGGACGGTGAATCACAGAAAATCATTGGTAAGGGTTTCCGGTAGTTAGGTGTGACCCCGCTAAATGCTTACAGGAACTATATGTCATGGTGCTGGGGAAGATATCTGCGTGAAAGAAATGCCTTCGGTAAGGCCGTTTCCTTCTCGGGCTGAGTTCCACGACTGGCTTTCCTGGTCGTGGCGCCGGCGTGTTCCAGATTCACAAAGCATCCCAGACCCGTGGAGGGTCTGCCTTCTAGACAATGGGCCTATCGTTTTTACGCATGGTGATCTACATCGAGGTAACATCATTGTCAACGCCACGAGTCCTGCTAAGGTTGTCGCAATCATCGATTGGCAGTTGTCAGGTTGGTATCCGGACTACTGGGAATACTGTAAAGCCTTGTTCACAGCAGAATGGGGTAAAGAGTGGCGGGACTATATTCATCAGTTCTTGGATCCTTATCCACCAGAGTTCGAGACATTTGATTTCTACATGCGGACCAATGGCATGTTTTGAACTTTACCACTTCCAGCGGAAGCTCCAGTTTCATAGCACATCAATGAGTCTAATATTGCAGGCCGAATCAATTGAAAGTGCTGGAGATCAGGCTAGACTTTTGTGAATAACGAGAAACTACAGATATTTCGATGGAGGAGTAGCGCAGTGGTATTTCTTCGGTATTTTCTTTTACCATGATGCTAAGAAACTCGCAAGATTAAGAGTTCTAATCTCCTCTCTTCTATAATCAAAAATAATACCTTACATATGAATAAAAGTTTATTATTAACGTCTTAACCATCATAGTAAGGATTTTTTAAGATTTGGCGCCGAAGAAGTTTTCTTCAAATCTTCTTCTTAGTTAACTTCTAGGAAAATTATCATATGAAGCTACTTTAAATAGAACTATAGAGACTGAATAAGGAGCGAATACAAGAAGTCATAGAGGCACATAGCAAATGACATCCAATAGCCTAATGAATTGAGCTTACTCACTCCTGTCAAACCCATTTTTGTACTGTCCCAGCACTTGTATCGTTTGCGCACATTATCCCAAGACCAATCAGTGGCTGATGAAAATTGCTGATGATGCTACCGTGGGCGAGCAGCAGTGGGTCGTAGTCTAATGCCAACTTGTGGCGGGTCTTGGTTTGACTGAACTATGTCTATAGCCGCTTCATCAAGATATCCGAGGGTAACAAGATGACGAACATATTCTAACATCCATGTCTGGCTGTCAGAACTCGTTGTCTGCATTTGTTAGTAGATGTGCATTTCATCAAGAATTTTACTCTACACTTACCGTCAGGAAGTTAGGGTTGGCTCTAGGCGGCTGGATTTGTGTCGCTGCCATCTCAAGGTTATTTCGTGGCATGTCCTGCGCTTCAGAACTGATTTCTGACAGATGCTGAACTAAGACTGGCCCAATCTCGATCAACTGTAGAACTCGCTTGGTCTCCAATGGCTCGTAATCCCTTTTGAATTCCAAGAAATATCCGATCATGGGATTGCCAACCACGTGGATTCTGCTTCCTTGCTGTGCACCTTCTGCGTCCGGGACCCATATACTGAAATGAGCACGTTGAACGCGCGCAGCTGCATAAACAATCAGAAATACAGTGCGAGTATACATGTTCAATTGTAGTAGTAACGAGTTTCGTGAGATTCGATATATATGAATGAATATCTAAGAAGAGAGTGGCTGCTTAGTACGGGTCGCATAATATACGCAATTAGTATGGACCCTTTTCTTTATGGGAAGACACATCACAAGCTACCATAAAATTTCCCTTCATAGCCATTCAAATGGGGTTTTATTCTTTCGTTTAACGCACAATTGATCATGCTAGCCGTGCCTCGTTCAGCGATGCACCGCGTCGCAGTGAGAATTTCAAATTCGATCGGTCCGTAGGCGCATGTACAGACCCAAGACGTAAAAACATTTCTTATTAATGATGTCTTTAACTTAATTGGTGGGTTCTTGGTGGAGATAATTGGCCTGCTGTCAAGATACGGCGTAGTCAGCTCCTACGCGTGATGCAAATATACGTGACACCGAGCAAAATCATCAACGCGCCCATGCACCATGCTACACAAGTTCCCTGAGGAAATCCTTAGGAGAAATCAAGTCCCGCGTGAATAAACAAAAGTGGTAGTAGTTCTTGTGATGCCGAAAAGGTTTGCGGTATTGAATGAAACGGCTTTCAAGTCGAACAATACCAATTCTTACCCTATTGCCATGCTAATAAAGTCGAAAATGCACTAAGAAGTAGTCTTAGTAACGCTTAAAAGGTATCTACCGCTATTTGGACGATACTGTTATTATGAAGATTGCCTCTAAGGATCACCATATCCAGATCAAGAGACATTGAAGATGTCTCCACAACGTAAGCTAGTCTCATGTCACTGACTCATTCCCTTGTTTAAGCCCTCACCCAAGCCGTCACTACAGATGACGACCATTGCGGGAACGTTTATTATGGCTTTTCTCGCGCGCACCTTACACCAAACGCTCGTCCCCTTTCTCACCTCTTTCCCAATGATTCACACAACATCACTAGTCTATTATAGTTTAGAATCATATGCATATTCATATCGGAAATACCCAACTCTTAGTTTTTGGTCCACAGGACAAAAGAGACTTGAATTTTAAGTATTGAGATTTCTTGCTTGGCCGCAACGTTTGATTGTGTAGCTCTTGTGCCGTTGAGACTGTACACATTTTTAAGAATGCGCTGCTACCTATTGAACCAGGCTTGCTGCATCCAATAGCCAGCCACTGTCAGAAGACTGTTATGCAACATAATTCGAAAACGCACACGTGCAACCGGAAGGAGCCGACAGGGCACCTACAAAGTCAAACAAACAGAAAGTTATAGATTCAAGTCGTGGTTGTACAGTCTATTTGTCGTCTCGCTACAATGACTAGCATGTTGCGTGTATCCTCCACTTGAGTCTTCCAACGACATGCACTACCCTCCAACAAGCCAGCCTCTCATCACTTCTGCTCCGCGCATTTACTCCTCATCAGCGTACAGAGCACGACCAGGCTTCGAGTTGAGGAATTCGTTCCTGGTCTCATCGTTAGCCTTCCGGACTACCTATGATTTCGTCCTACCCATCGCCTTTCCATTTTGCATCTGAACCCAGCGTCATGAACTCACCTCTCGATTGCCCACTGCATGGTTGCGTATCCGAGAACTAGCGGGGGAATGATGTAGAGAACTTGGTTCTTGGATCGGCGCATAACGTTCCAGAAGCCCTTGCTGAGGAAGTTGGCCATGGGGCGCTGTCGGTTGGGGCTCAGCTGGTAGGTGACGATGCCCTTGCCGGGTCGGCCACCGCCCTCGTAGGGGTTACCCCATGCGCCGATGTGCCATCTATGCTATCGTCAGCATGCGCTCCATTCTAGTCGGCCATGCACACGTGTGCCGTCTATGGAATGCGGGTTGGGGCGCGGAATCTTTCAAGGCGGATGCGGGTGCCGTGGCGTGCGGGGAGGGCCGAGACATACGTGGTCTTGGTCTTTGCCTGGGATTCGGGTCCGAGAGCCATTGTGAAGATGTCAGGTGCGGGTGTGGACGTGCAATGGGATGAGCGGTCGGTCGTGACGATGTTGCTAGAAAGATGCAATCCGAGCTGCGATGCCAAGACTTCTTGTGCGCTAGTCTATATCAGGGAAGGGTTGGGACAGGCGAATCAGCTGAATGCTATTGGTCAATCCGTCGGTGAGTGAACAACCTGCACTTGGGGAGCAATATATCACTCACTTGAGTCACCCCGTATCTCACTCACAAAGCCTCCCAATAGCGGGAAGAGGAATAAAATATTGCTACTTGCCACATCCTGTCCACCCTGACTAGCAATTGCGTCGCGACGTCCACCATGCTGCTTGTATTCTCCGTACGTCTCTGGCATTTGTGATTTGTTGATAGAGCGTAGACTCTTCTAATAAGCTATCTCTTTCTATTAGTATGCAGTGGCTGTTGTCTCTTGAAGGTGTCGAGTCAGCCCTGGAACGCCTAACACATAGTGGGAAATGAAATTTGAGTGAAGGGTGACATATTCCCGTGACACTGAAATCTGGTCTCGTAGTCTCATGTCAAATACACCATCAGAGAAATATGTACGGTTCTCAAAGTTCTTCATCACTGTATCACATACAAGACTTCAACGCACAGGATTTTATTACACGCTAACTCCTAAACCCCAAAAGTTCTCGCATCATCCAACTCTCTACTGAGTTATCACAACGCCCTCATTCCTAATAATCCCATAAGTGACAGCCGTGCTCAGCCTCTGCGGGCAACCCTCATAGCTCTTGTAAATTGTGGCATTATAAAAGTTACACATATCGTCGATAACGGGACGAGCCTTGTAAAGATCATCCACGGTACAGTGACCCTTGCCACCCAGTCCGGGAGGGACAGCACAGGGCTCGATCAACTTTACATTGTTAGATTGCAAGACTTGTAGATGATGAAGAGCGGGAGGTGTGAAAGGAACGTACTTTAGAGTACTTGTAGTGATTGACACAGTGGCAGGCAAAGTCTTCGGCGGCGCAGCCATCGAGCATGCTGGCTTGGACTTGGCATTCGTAGATGCAACTAGGAAGCCAACCTTTGAGCTTATCGTTGTTTCTGGTTCTTTATGTTAGCCAAAAGTATAATGCAGGTTCCAGATTACGAGATACATACAAACAGTGATATTTCACCATATTTCCGGGAGCGGAAGCTCGCGTAATGTTGAATGTGAGTTGAGCGTTGGCAACAGCCAAGACCGAGAAAAGCGTGGTGATAGAAATGAAGTGCATGATTAGAACTGATGTACAGATATAGAATGTAGAAAGTGTGTTATGATAAGTGATGATGAGTGAGTTCTTGGTACTGCATTTGAGTTCAGGTTCAACCAGTTTATATATCACCTACGACTTTAATCTCTCCCTGAAGCTGGCCCGTGATAAGATGATCCGTAAGACATTAATCTGTATCTATGCGACTCTAAAGTTGCAAATAGAATATTCATGTTTGCAAAAATCACTTTTTGTAGTAGATTTCAGCGAAAAGCATTTGCAAATTGCACCCCTAAGAATAGTTTTTCGATTTAAGATCTTCTGATCTTTTCCCAATCCTGCCTGTTTGTCATGGAGCTGTTTTATTGCATGCTGAGACAATAATACAATCATGTCTACCGGTTTTGTGTGACAAGTTAAACTCTCTACGCACATCGTCTCCGGTGGTGAGAAAAGCAATTTAGCTAAATGAGCTAGTAGAGATCATCCTATAACTTAGCTACGTTAGCTGTTGCACCATAATCAATCAAGTCTGATTGGCTGTAGAATAGGAGACCTGAAACCATTTTCGCTCAACATAATTTCTTGTTTCTCGATAAAACTTATACTCCACCAAGGCACAGGACAAAAGGGAAAGTGAGAGCTCAAGTTGCTGTTACAAAACAATATGCTTAACACCATCAAATGAGATAGTTAAGAAATGGCGATATGAAAACACATCAAACAACGAAATGAGCAGAGTGCGAATGGATTTATTCAAAACAATCCGAATGAGAAGCTTGAAGCAAAGAAAATACACCACACGGAACTTGACAACGGCTGGGCATAGATGCTGTGTGAGTCACCCTAGCCTTCCTCTCAAACTGTTGAGTACCAAATCTCAAATCCACAAGAACTTTGAGAATTGGGCCTAAGCAGCAATTCGTCCCCTTTTCTTTTTCGACATCATCTATGAAACAGCACTTGTTTTTTTTTGCATCACAACTTGCCCATTCCTATCTTGCATCATCGAATAGATAAAGTTAAGCCCTGCAAATTCAGACAAAATCCAAACAAACCAATTGGTAGGTTCTATCCTGACGTTTGGATGTTTATGCTCACGAAACTGCGCATGCTCCGTGCTAACACTTTCACATTTCTCTGCTGAACACTCTCATGCTTTTTCCGTTGCTAATTTCGTTCTTCTGCCATACAAACACAGGAGAAACATATTTTAGAACGCTAAGTCTCGTGTAAGGCATCCGTACAGAGTTTTCGTGCTGCATGAGACCGTTCACATTTAGATATAACTTTCGAATAATGAATACAGGCCACTAAAAATATCGATTTCTAGAATATTCGCCGCTTTACAATAACATCTCTATAACTATACGGCCCTACCCATGGTTGTAAACATGCGCGAATATGTCGCTTTAGTAATGGCAGAACTGACCAAACTAGATGAACAGGGCAAACGCATCTTGATTTTCGCATAGAAAGAGACACCAGACTCTAAGAGTACTTGAACTATGGCTTTCAATTTCTCGTTCTGTTGGCTAACTTGCTGAGATCTGTTTAGAAGGTTTGCTCTCAAGCGCGTTTGCAAAACCATTTGATTTATTGTGACGCAATTTCTGTATTGGCAGACTCTTATCTCCCTTGATAGTACCCTGTTTGTAGTGTTTGTAGTGAATGTAAAAGACAGTGACTGTGAAGTTTAGCGCATCACACACGAGGGCCTCCGTCTCACACAACATGCCTGGCCGAACCATCCCCATAATCCGCTTCAAAGGACATTCGATGAGCGAAAAACTAAGATCAAGCAACTCATGAGTGAGGATGTTGCAGTATGCATGGGCTATCTAGAAGCCGAGCTGACCTTCATCGACTACGGTCCTTACAGCATACCGATCCTGTATTCGGAACACATCGAACATCAATACCCTCACGGAGTCATGTACGAGGCTTGGACTAGCTCCGGAATGGTCTCAACTACTTCGAATGGAAGGACTTTAGCAGCAACATGTTTCGCTTGAAATACGAGGCGCTTTGTCTTACCGAAAAGTCGACTCTGACATCTTGCAGGTTTGGCCGTAGCCAACAGGCTGACAAGAGCGAGCCAACTGTACTCATCAACGACTGCGACATCTACCTTTATGAAGATAAGATACATGTGACTATGGAGCGCGGACTGCTGCTAGCAGCTGACTACATCAAACTGTGTGGGATTCTGGATGAGCAGCCAGTGCGGTTCAATGGGACCAAGCCTCTATGGATGGAGCAAGCCCAGGCAAACTATGTGCGCTGTCGGGTTCTTGAAGACTTCAGTCCCGACGAGGACTTACAAGCCCAATATTTCATTCAACTTCTCTCAAGCTTCGTTGTAGAGGTGTATGAGCGTTGGCTCCTTGGCATGGACAACGATGGGCAAACTGATATGGTATACGGCATGCAGCTTGAAGATAAAGTCAGAGGCTTGTTTCCTTACAACGTGACTTGTCGCATAGACGGGCACACGGATCCAGAAGAGTTGTCAGACTCTTCTCCGGACCCCAACATTATCGATTGGACAAAGTTCGACTATGATCCCGTTGCTGCTCGGGCTACTGCACAACAGAGCGTTTCGGATTATTGTACATCAAATGACATAACAGCGGCAACGGCAACGCCTACATCGTAGGGATTGGTACCGGTGATATCAAGTCCTATCGCAATAGAGCCTCCTCCGATCTTCATCATGCAGTATGCCAACACAGGTAAATTCCCAAACTCTTCAAGTATATCACCAAACTGACATCTCACACCAAAGATCGCGCCAACGCCCACAAAAATTCCGAGCAACACCACTGTTTCGCTCTCTACCATCCGCTCTACTTCTCCATATGAAAGCTTCGATTCTCAAGTCAAAACAACGACACCGGGACACTATGACAAAGTCTCGGGAGATAATGATCCGCCTGGCGTTCCTGCCACCAAAAGAGACACTGGACATCAGGAAAGCACTGCTGTCATGGATTCTGAGACATTAAGCAATCTTGTCGAAACGGGTCGCGGGCATGTTGCACAAGTTGGAAGGCATTGTCGGGATGTTGAAGATGAAGTTAGTTGGAGTGATGGGGAACTCTGATGAGATGCCTCAGAGTCAGATAACAGGCTCGTTGCATTAGTTGGGAGCTTTCAGGCCTTTGGATTAGTTATTATTTGGGTTAGATAGGGTTTGGGCGGTGCTGTCGAAGCACTTCCTGTTTGCGTCGATGAGTACAGCGTTCCCCTATAGGTATACGAGTCGAGCGCGGTGATTCCAGAATGATATTGGGCTGGGATGGACCATGGGGCTGAAGGCCGTTCTCATTCTACCCAATGAATTCACAAAGTCGAAAATAAATAAAATATGCAATATGGCGCTCTCCTTCATGGAAAGAACTTTGCAAAAACATTACAACCTAATATAAAGTTTTACAGTCGATAATTTCAGCCAAGTCGCTTATTGCACATCTATCAACCGAACCTCTTGCAGAAATTGAATGAACATGTACTAAGTTGTTTGTAGTAACAGCTGTAAAATTACATATATGCTCAAATACAACAATTTCCTCCCCCTCTCTTCTCGCATCTACATACCTCCTACTCCTCGCCAGAAAACATATCTTTGTCAGAAACATCCTTCTCTTTCTCACGTGGGATCTCGTGCTCGCGTGGAATCTCCTCCTCAACCACACCCCCCTCTTCCTACTCACCCTCCCCATCCCCCAACCCCGGCCCATTCTTCCGAAAATACTCCAACCCAACCAACTGATTTCCCCCTTCAACCTCACAATCCCCCTCATCAGCCAGCACCTCATCCCCCCTCCCCACATACTTCTTCCCCCACCCCACATTAAGCGGTAACCCAGTATGCGCCGCGCTCGTCCCGCCACGCCTTCTCACCCCACTCCAATGTCTAATACAATGCCCCAGAACGGGCAATTTAGGCGGCATCAAGCAGTTATCCGTGCCAAGCCGGCCTCGAGGTACTTGATATCGTGTGAATTTCAGGTATCGGCGGTTTGTCTCTGAGAAATCGACGGCACGCAACTCTTCGCGCTCGAATTTATTTTCCAGGCTACCGTCTACTCGTACTACGTCGTCTGCTTTTAGCTTGCCCGTTTGAGGCAGGGCGTAGTGTTTGCGCTTGCGCTTGCGGGTCCCAGCAGGTTTTGGGTGGTTGCGGTCGGACAGCGAGCGGAGGGAGTAGGTGCCGACGAGGTGGTTGATGACTGGGTCGAGGATTGCGATGCCGCGGGAGTAGAGACGGCAGATTGTTATTTCGATTGCATCGAGGTGGCAGGCGGAGAGCTTGGTTTTGTAGAGTTGGAGGATTAGGGCGTTGATGAGTGGGGATTGGATGAATTTGGGGAGGCCGAGTTGGAGCATGCAGTTGTAGAGGTGGATTTTTTCGAGGAGGGATGGGGGGATTTCCATCGCGATTGGGCCGTTGGGGTTTGTTAGGTAGGCTTTCATCTTTTGGTTTGTAGTCTGATTGGACCTTTTTGGTTGATTGTCATCGGTGGTATCCTTGCTCTTTTGACTGCTCATGTATACTTTCACTTTGTCGAGCCATGGGATAATGTATGCTTCAATCTCATCGGCGCGTATATATGCCAGTTGCTCGTCATCCTGGTCGGACCCTTTTACTAGTGGATAGCAGACCGGGAGTTTCAATTTGTCGTCGCTAGGATTATACGTAAAATAGTCCTTAGCAAAGCTCGAACACAGTATAAGAGTCTCACGGCAAAGAGGTCTGGACAATTTCTTGTCCTTTCCTTGCCTGAACCCTTTTATATATTCGAAATCGCTGCCCCAGCTAGACATTTTTTCGCAATATAGGGTTTTGAAGATTTGTGAGTCAACGATGATTTCCACATCTTTAGTAGTCTTTAGCCCGTTCCTCTGCTTGCACACATCAATCGGATCTGTGTATGGGTCTTTCGAACGCATGCATCTTTGCCTTGCCTCTTCTTCTAGGTATTCCTCGTGTACGATCACAACTCTGCCGTCTTCGTCGTAAAGAACCATTTTATCGTCCAGATATTAGTGCGTATTGAAACAAAAATCCTTCAATTTGAAATGCAAAAGTCGCAAATGGCGTCGGTGAGCGGGACGAGATGTTCGAATACTAAAAAGGAAATGCTCGATTTCCACCTTCTTTGTTCAAGTCGCGGATCACAAAGCGGGGCGCATTCTCCAAGGGCGTTGAGAAACAACAAGCGATTTCTTTCATGAGTGCCGGATTTGAAATAAAATATGTCCCAAGTACAATACTTCTTGCTAGGGATTGCTGCATCGTATCATCTAGTGTCGCGTTCGTGCAGGACTGTTGACGGACCACGAGCCATACTAATCAGAATACGAACTAGATCTTGGGAACTGAGACTGCTGATTCTCATTCGATACTGGTTCACCAACCCTAACCACGATTGGCATCAATAGAAATACAAAATATAACACAAGACAGACACCATATGGAGTGCATAAACTGTTCAATACGAGGGCGGAGCTGACTATAATTGTCCTCACTGAAATTTAATAACAACAGCGAGTACTGTGACCATAATCTACATATGATAGTCCTACTTCTTTCCTCCCCCACCGCAAGCCCTCTCTAGCGTCAAGAATGCGAAATGGCCACCAACAACCGGTCGGGCAAAGAACCACGGCCCAGGGAAGCCACCATCACCCTCTGTCACGTAGAGATCGGTAAAGGCTCGGTCTGTGACCGTCTCATTCAACCACAAGGCCACGCGATCTAGTATCTCAGAGCGCACCTTCTTACTTGCAACAGCTGCTGCCTCAAATTCCCAGTCTGATTTGGTGTAGAGATGGCGCGAGTCGAGAGGCAGACCATATTTTTGCATAACATTTCCATACCATTCGCTTTGCAACGAATAGACAGAATCTGGGATGAAGTCTTCAGTTATAGGGGTGCGGCCCGAGCTGTCTTTGGAAGGTGTCAAGGGCCTTTGCGCGTCTTTGTTACCGGATGCGTAATCTGACTTGTCGACTAATGATGACGAGTTCGTGAAGGTAGGATGGAAACACAGAACAGCGTCTGCGTACAATGAGTAGAGCGTAGTCCAGCTTCCATACCAGTTATAGGCAAGCTTAGCGTGTGTACCGTCACGCGAAATGGCGTACTCCTGCCATTTCTTAATGTACGTGTCGGAAATATTGCGATAATGCTTCGCATCACCGGGTCGGTCCATGAGATCTGCAATCTCACTAAAGGCCTTGATGCCGACGATTCCTTTTAGTGCAAGGTTAGTCTGAAGCGGCAGCCAGCCCGCGAAATCATCAGTGGAAACTGGTTCTGTAGTTAGCCAGTGTCTCAAGTCAATGCGTGCGTACTTACGCTGATTGTGTGGTTCCAGCGTATCTTCAACGAGATAACCAGTCCACTGTTTCCAAAGATCGTAACTCCCTTCAAGCCATTTCTTAGCCTTGTCAACTCCCTTCGTGCTTCCGCCCCAGACTTCGTCAATGTACTCGATGCCATCATACGAGGCGATACTTGTAAGACCAAAAATACTCTCATCAGACTCCTTCATATTGCCGTCATGGCCAACAGCGGACCAAATAGACTGTGCTTCGGCTTGAGAGCTGTAGGTCAACGAGTTGACCAACGCAAGACCCATGATGAGCATATCGCCACATTCCTCAACTGGCATGTATTCGTCCCTTCCATCAGCATGTCCGGTAAGGTTAGGGAAGTGAGCACCTAAGTCATGCATCGAGTATTTGTTTGGATACTGCCCACTGAGCTGGTGTTCAAGAAGCGGCTCAAGAAGGTACGCCAGCCACCGGGGTTGCGTGTAGAGGAAGAATGGGAACGCTGGGAAGATGACATCCACAGTTTGACAATTACCATTTGAAGAGATCTCCTTGAGAAATAGCAGTGGATTTTCCTTGGTGCCAGAAAAGCTGGTCGCGCCCATCACCTGTCGTGCAGACAGGGCGACGATGTCGACATAATTGGTAGAGCCAGATTCATAGGCGTCAATGCGCAACTGCTCGGAGTAGTTGCTGGCTAGACTGCTGGCCGTGGCAAAGTCACCGTAGTGGAACTGAATAAGCTTATCTTCATCATGGAACCATGACTTCCACAAAGGTCGCATGAAGGTGAGGCCCCGCGCAGATGCATACTGTGTAACTGGGTCTTGGACATGGGTGAGGGTGAATAGCACGCTACCGCTGGCAGCTTTCGAAGCAGCGCTCGACTTCCCCAGCTCAAAGGATTTCACAAAAGCGAAAACTGGCTCCTCATCCATGATGCCACGGAAGTTTCCATCCACTTCGTTCTGAAGTGTCCCGGTTCGGGCAAACCTCTGGCGGAGTAACGCGGAAGTGCCAGACTGGTGACGTACATCTGCTGGGCCTGTGAAGTGCAGCTGACCCCACTCGGGCTGATCATTTGTTTCGGTGAAGAGTTGCTCGACCTGGCGCTTCACTTGCCACGTCTTCAGCTTGTCTTTCAGACCAGGCGCTATGTGCTGGAATAGGCCCCATTCTATGAGACTCTCCCTCTTGCCGCTAACCCATTGACCATTCACATCAACATATATGTTGACATCAACAGTTCCTTCTACATGTATGGAGAGATACGCTGCCGGAAGAGTCTGTCGCAAAGTTGATGTGGGTGTTATGGGAGAGAGGAACGACAAAGTGATTTCGACGTTCTCTGCTTTTTGGGATTTCTTGGATACTTGAAGCGAGTATGTGAGGTTCGTAGTGGACGCGTCGTACTTAGCACCTTTGTACGCCGGATACGCTATTGTGTAGCTGCACAACCAATAAGTCAGCATTGAATAAGTCACGGGTGTAGATGTCATGCATACCTCTTGTCGGTTTTATCTAAAGAATCATGGGGCCTGCCCAACAGTGGAAAGACTCGATTCTCATCAGGAAGCGATGCAAGCACGCCGAATCCAACCTACACAAGAGCTTGTAAGCACAACACCCAATGTGGCTGGGAACCATGTCGCCGTAAAAAATGTGGGCAATCGTACCTCTGCACCAGTCCAAAACATAGGCCATTTGCTCCAAGGCTCCTCACGCGCATTCTGCAGCCATGTACTCAAATACGGATTTCTTACGATCAACGGAAGGACCGGAGGCTGGAGAGTCGAAGCATCGATGACGCTTGCTAGAAGCGCCGTAGCGAATATTCCGAGGGAACGCATTGGAGCGGCCCGCGCGCAAACGATTACACAGACAAAAGGGCAAACTCGGTACTAAAACTTCAGAGACATAGATTGATGTTACACAATATACAGAGGGATCGAGGTTGTGTTTGTGTTGGGGATGAGAGCTGTCAGCTGGGGATGGAAGCTCTGGGTAGCTGCATTCTGCGGGGTTGTGGAGCGGCCAATGAACGCCAGGTGCCTTGCATCATGGGTGGGTCGGCAATCGTCCTATGTTTCATGACGCGGCCTGACCTCTCACCGTCTCTATCGTCGCAGCATCCAGCTCTTTTGCCAAAAAAAAGGTCTCTAGATGTGACGGATGATGAACAGTTGTAGCCGATGTACGTGGATTCTGGTGTACCTCTTCTCTCAACAAGGCACATACTATTGTAAACCAGGCGAGGCCTACATATTGTTAGTCGATGCTACCGCACGTGGTGTTTGCCGACTTCGATGCTTCCATACAGACGCAATGGCGTTCATCAACGAAGATTCCATGCGACCTCGCCCCGTACATTCCTTTGATGACGATGTAAGTGTTTCTTCTCCTGACGGTTTCGCAGGACTGTGAGTACGCATAGTCCGGTCGCCCATGGCAAACACTGGGTTAGGATGGTAAATGGGATGTACCCGAGAAACATTTCTTTGTGGAAGACTGGGGAGCGGTCGAATAGTCGGTTTCGTAGGCTCTAATTTGATAGAAGGTGGAATAGACAAACGGTAAGATGGTGGCGGTTTGGGCATGAAGCTATCCCTCTGTAACGCTTGCTTGTCGGACTGTTCATCTAGTTCTTCTACCCTGGGGCTGGGAGTAACGTGCGGGACATATGTACGCGGCTGCCATTTGGATGCTTCTCTGCGAGATAACATTGGCGTCTTCACCAATATGCGTCGAGCGGGACGGGCAGTTGCCGCTGATGTGTCTTTGTTGCTGATTGTATTCCAGTTTTTTGTTGTATTAGTCTCTCCTTTGTCTATTCCAAAATCATTCTGTAGTCCACTGTTGACTAAACTGTGAGTCTCCTGGTCTGTACTAATACTGCGTACACTTGCGTCATGTGGCTCAATCACCAAAAGGTCGTTCTCCTCTCCAATTCCGTTATGTTCTGAGCGAAGCACCTCCAGGTCTCGCAGTTGGTCTCGAGTGCGGTAATAGTATCGGAACGTTGCGAAAGGTCGGTCCACCGGATCGATAAGAGCGAATTTGTAGAAGCGTTTAGGTTGTTCTGGCCCGGCCCGTCCAGCGTTGACGAGGCTGCCACTTTTAGCACTGTGCCCTCTCCGTATTCAAATCGTACTTACTTGATCCCTCTACCCTCCTTTGCATGTAGTGTATCCTCGTATATCTCTACCTGCCTCTGAATCCGCTTTCTGGCATGTGCACGATGCACTCGTATCTCCACGCAAGCTGTCTCGTCAAACACATCCATTATGCCTACCCGGTGTCTATCATTTTCCCTCGGGGGTGCGAAACACAGCACACGTTTCTCGATCTTCTTAACCCCCTCTGCATCTTCGGAACTCTCAAATAGGCCAAACATAGTTTTACCTTGCCAGCCCTCTGCTTTTCCAGTCGACCAACTTACAATGTGCGCGCCGTCGATATATAGCTTGAAGAAGAAGTAGTGCTCATCGGGAACTGGCGGCGAAACGGCATAGCTTATCCAGAACGCGGTGCCTGGTAGAGCGGGCACAAACACACTACATGTTGAAGTCTTGCTTTCGAAAGGCTTTGGCATGAACCTTGTGATCCCGTGATCATCTCTGGGATTGGGGCGATACTCAGGAAGCTTTTCGATATCCAACTGAGAATGGAGCGTAATGTCTATGCTGCAATGGTGCATTGCGTCAGTTGTATGCCGGTAAAGACGAGTAAGTGATGATGCCTGCGCTGTGAGTATAAGCAGGTGCGACTGTATGCTCAAGGTGAAGCAAACAGAAGATCCACTAGCGCGGTCAATATCCCAGTGTATATCAGGTATTGTAAAAGAGAGTTCGATAAGTGCAGAGGGGCAATATCGATAAGCAAACGAAGCAACTTTCTCTTGAACTGTTCTGGACCTCTGGTATTTGGCAATATCTTATCGACCGTTGTTAAGCTTGCCATTCTGCAACTGTGACTGACGCCATCGCCTCCATGCTGCTTCAGACTCCTGAATCAGCGAAGCATCTGCTCCCGGAACCAATAGAGGAAAGCATTTATTCTTAGGTATAAGTGTACAGGGTATTAGATGTTAATGATACAATGACCGCATTTCGAAACTTTTTATTTCTCACCCTCCCCAGATTCTCCATTCTTCTCCAAGTAATCCTTGATACTAAACATACCCGTCCCCCTCTCGAGCGGCTTTTGTTGATTTAGACTAGGCTTCCAGCCAATCATGTAGATAAGCCTGAAAGTAGCAGGCAGTGTCCCATCTTCGTTGCCATGGAGCTCCTTGTATATTCCCTCTGCAGCAAGTAGCACATCCCGATGTATGGCGCCCTTCTCTCTCGCCATTACGGCATTCGATTCGCCCATAGCCTGTAGATCCTTCATCAATGAGAAAGTGTCGGGGAAGTCGACAACGATATCGTCGACATCTACGGTTAGGAGGTTGAAGCCAGCCTTTTGCAGCAGGCCACCAACATCTTTTACGTCTGCCAGTGGCGAAGTGTGTGTTGAGACACCACCTCTCCTGTCGAGCTCTGCTAGTTGAAGCGATGTTCGGAGCTCATACAAACTGTCACCACCCATCATGACACCAATGAAAGGACAGTCGGGCTTCAGTACGTTGTTAATCTGGGCAAGGACTGAGGGCAAATCGTTAATCCAATGTAAACTTAGATTGCTCAGGACCGCATCGAAAGTGTTGGCCTCATAAGGTAACAACTCCGAGGTAGGAAGAACCTCTCGCACAATGTCGATTTCCTTGTTAAAGGGCAAGTCTGCATCTCGGTAGAGCAACGATCGAGACGAGTCAGCGGCTGTGATTGTACCGATGCGCTTAGACCGTGGACCCTTTTCCGGTGCGTCCTCGGATGGCAATGTCAATGCTCGAGAAAGATTGCATGCGTTTGCGCCGAGGTCGAGAACTTTTGGGAAATGTCGGTTTATGTCCTATTCGTCTTAGTAGTTGCTCGTTTTGCAGACAAGAGGCGGCTCTACCAAGACTCGCTCACACAACCGTGAAGCAACCTCGTTTCTTAGATAATCTACATTCCGACTTGTCTCAACATCTTTTGCAGCCCGCTCCTTTTGCATCCATTTTTGCTGGGCACTAAATATCTCGAGCATGGGCGCTCCAGGCGCTTGAACAGCGTAACGTCGTGTGAATTGGCGGGAAAAACATTGTCTCCTGCATGGCGAAATCAAAGCGCGTACAGAGAAACCAGCCATATTTGCAAAGGGCTGTGCAATTGACTGAGCCGACAGGCAATGCGCTCAAAGAAAGAGGTGTGAATAGAAAAAGACGTTAAAAGTACTACGTCAACACAGCTGCTAGCTATACCTAGGTACCTACTACCAGTCCGCCAATCGGCGTTTGGCTCCACCGAGCTGTACCTCCGTTGTCCAAAAGTTGGCCTCCACACTCCCCCACGCAACAACCAGACCGGCGAGCAGGAGGAATCCCAAATCGAGACCCTCCCATTGCAACACGTGCAGACCACCATGGCACAAGCATTCCCATACACATACTACGCCTGTGACTGCTTCGACAGCAACAGCGTAGCAGGCACAAAACTCACCTCGCACGTCCTCGCCGCAACCGACGACGAAGAAGAGACGCTCGACCCACGAAACCCACGCTCCAACTACGCCCTCTACCCACTCGAGCACCTCCTCTACTGCGAAGACTGCCTGCAAATACGCTGCCCACGATGCGTAATCGAAGAAACGCTAAACTGGTACTGTCCCAGCTGCCTCTTCGAAGTCCCCAGCTCGGTCGTCAAAAGCGACGGCAACAGATGCACGCGCAACTGCTTCAACTGCCCCGTCTGCATATCCCCCATGATTGTCAATTTGCTCGAGAACCCGGACGTCGACCACAGCACAACGGACCGCCACATCCTGGCGTGTCCGTACTGCCATTGGAGCACAGTAGAGACGGGCATCGAGTTTGAGAAGCATACGGGCGTGTATTCGCAGATTTCACGCATAGCGAATGGGGGGAAGCCGATACCGTCGATCAAGGAGCGGGACAAGGAGCGAGAGAGACGCAAAGAGTTGGAGGCTCAGCGAAGAGATTCAAGAAACCCGCAGGCCTCATCTCGTGGCTCGGCCATTGTGCATGCTGGGGGTTACGAACCGCCCTCGCGCGACGACCTGTTTGCGAATCTCGCTGCGTTCTACAAGGCGGAATTGGACGCCCAGACGCCGTCGAATCCGCTGGAGATGAACTTTTCCTCGCCTACAGCATATTCTCGCATTATGAACTTGTACTCGACGTCGACGAAGAAGTCGAAGCGGAATAAGCCCACACCCATGAGAGATGCAGCATCTGAATTGGAAGGTCTGGTAACACACGATCCTGCCGCTGAAAACGCAGCAATCGAGCGTATCAAGAGGGGTGGTTGGAGTGCTACATTATCTCCTACCCAAAAGCTTGCCCAGCTCGACCCCCACGTACAGTTCGACGACGAGCTCCGCCCAATTCCAACACTACTCTGCACCAAACGCTCAAAGCGATGTCGCTCCTGCCGCCACATTCTCGCAAAGCCCGAATCGAAAATCACATCCACGCGCTACAAAATCAAATTACTAGCTCTAAACCACATTCCCCGCCTCAGCGTCCGCGCCTTACCACCCCCTTCCAACCCACCCGTCCCCGCATTCCCCGGCTCCGTCCCAGCACCAGCACCCCAATCAGCCCAACCCCAGCCCCAACTCCCCTTCAACTACAATGCCCTCCGCCCCGGCATCCCCGCGCACTTCCTCCTCCACCTCAGCAACCCCCTCTTCGACCCCATCCGCGTCACCCTCGCTACCAGCAGCACCACCCCCGGCAGAGTCTCCTCCCGCGTAACAATCCTCTGTCCTGAGTTCGAGGTCGGCGCCAACACTGACGTCTGGGACGACGCCCTCTCATCCTCCCCGGCCCCCATGCCCCGCCGCTCCACCATCAACGCCGAAACAGGCCAGATCGAAGCAGGCAAAATTTGGGATAAAGGCCGTAATTGGACGAGTGTCGCCATAGAGGTTATACCGGGGTTCTTGGATGAGGTTAATGGGGAGGAGGAGGAGCTTGAGCCGGATGATGATTTGCTGGAGATTCCGATTTTCGTCAGGTTGGAGTTTGAGGCGGATGTTAATGCCGAGGAGAGGGGTTTAGGGGATTCGAGGGGGAGTAAGGGGGAGAGGGAGAAGAGGGAGGAGGCGTTTTGGACGGTGGTGGGGGTGGGGAGGATTGCTAATGCTTAGGGGGTTTTTGATGATGATGATGATGATGATACCCATTTGTTCTTATGATGATGAATATATGAAAGCGTGGGAGAGAATTTTATTTGTCGTGCTTGAGATGCGATTTTTCAAGAGGTGGTCTCGATGTCTTTCTTCTTCTTACGAGTCACCATTCCGTCCAATGTTGCTTGGCTTGCTTCCCGTTTGTGCACTGGTTTCTTATCTACTTTCTTGCCCGTTGGCTTCGCTCGCTTGGTACGTTTCGATTCATCTTCATGTCCGCTTTCCTCGTGGCCATCTGCCTTGTCGTCTTCATGCTCGACCATTGCACCGGGTGGACCCTTTGTACCCTCAGTCGGCCCCTCGGCATCATCATCAAATAACTTGCGCCAGCTTCCATCAAGGACCTGAGGCGAGTTACCGTACAGATTGACACGGTATGCATTCTTCATACCCTGGAGACAAATATCTCTTCTTGTGGGAAAATCAAACATTGGCTTGGGATATGTTTTCAGAGCACCGTCTACACCGCTTCCAGCAGTCCCATCACCCTTGATTAAACACCCCCATTTCTTTTGATCAGCAATCGGCGCCTTGTGCGGCTCGTAAATGTATTTTTTATCGAATTTGGCTAGTTCTGGTACGTATCGGCGGATAAAGTTACCTTCCTTGTCCCATTTCTGGGGGAAGGCTACAGGCGAATAGCAGCGGTAGAATTGGGCGAAAAAGGCGGTGCAAGAAAGCCATTGCCAATTACCTATGTTACACGCAGCTTCGTGGTCAATAAGCCATTCTTCAAAGACTTCGGCGCCGCGCTCCCAGTCAATGTAGCAGCCGCCTCTGGTCAGAAAGCACGCAACGGCGTGGCGGCCGAGGTGATGAATCCAGCCTTCCTGTGCCAGCTGCCGCATTAGTGCGTCAATCCAGGGAAATCCCGTACGGCCCTGTTTCCAGCGCTGGAAATGGGACTCAGCTTCTGCATTATCGATTGTGTATTCTCCAGTGATTAGGCTAGACGAGGTATCGACTTTGGAAGGAAGATGCCAGGGGATAAAGCGGCAGTGTGAGTTGTTGTAGGTTTGACCAAACGAATATCCCAGTGATGCCTGTGCGCCAAAGTACATGTCGCGAAAGAGGAGCTGGCCGGTCAGACTGGTAGGTGGCTGTGAGGCTCTTCCTTTGTATTTATCGGCTACATCTTGAGCGCGCCAGTAGAAGAGACGACAGCTCAGAGAGCCAAAGTGCATATGCGGAGACAAAAGAGTGGTGGATTGGGGCTCGAATGCAGTCGGTGCGGTATTGGGTTTCTCAAAAGTGGCCGTATACTCTTCGTCTGCAATTATTTTATCAAGCGCTTGCAGGGCCACCGTCTCTCCGCCGCGATGTGGTGTTGTTGCTAGTTTCAGACCCAGGTCTTCCATTGTAGGTACAGCAAAATCGCCATTTGGTCCGGCCAGCGCAGTGTACGAGGCTTCGTTTCCATCTCTTTGTATCGAGTTGATGTCTGGGTGGCTTTCTGGCTTCTCTTGGTCAAACTGCAGATGCACTTCTCCAGGGTCGGGTAATGATTTGGGTGCAGGGATGGGTCTAGGGACTGGTCCAATCTTCTTGGCAGCTGCTTGTACCTGAGCCATGCTCATGGTTGGCTTCCCATTGTTATTCTTGACCAGGTCATCCGGATCATACAGCGTTCTTCCAGTCTTGGTGATGACATCGACGCCCGCTTGCTTCGCAATCTCCATGACCTTGGCATCACGCTCTCGGGCATAAGCATCCGTATCCTTTTCAAAAACTAAATGGGTGATGTTCCATGCCTTGAACAGCTTGGGAAACAAAGTTTGCGGGGCTTCGCGGATGAGGAAAAGCTTCGACTTTGGGTTCAACTTGGTGATGGATTTGGACAGGTCATTTTGGCAGTCAATGAGGTACTGCCAGCGATTGGGACCAACACGGGCACGATAGACATAGTGTGGATCCCACGTCCACACTGGATAGAGACATTCGGGGTCAAGGTCCAGGGCAGCTTTCAGAGCTGGGGAATCATGGAGACGCAAGTCGGTCCGGAACCAGTAAATGACCCGCGACTTCGTCATGTTGCTTAAGGTCTGCCAGGGCTCAGAAAACGAGGGGAATGGGCAAAGAAGAATGAAGAATTGTCACAGAGCTCAAACTTGAAGAGATACTCCCTCGACTAGTGGACGGACGGGGAGACTGCATGGTTGAGTGCATGCGGTCATCGATCGGAGCTAGGACGCTCGCTAATCGTTGAGTGGTGTAACAAACCAATCGGCCGTACTTTTCCCTGTGCCGGACACGATGAAGAGACATGATCAAGGTGAAGGAATCGACTGTGCTGCACACAGCGGCAGCAGGACTCGTATGTCCGGGGCTGGCATGCTTAGCGGGGAAGGGTTCAGGGAAGGGGTTCAAAAAAAGCAGGGTCTCAATTCTTCGTCAACGAAACACGCTGGGTCATGGCGGAGCAGCGGGATGGTGGGCAGGTCTCGAGAAAAAGAAAGGGCATAAGCGTGGGCGTGGGCGTGGGCATGACACAGGCAGAGGTTGCTTTGGCTGCTCGAGGCGGTGAAGGCCAGCTCGCACGGGCGTTCCCCAGTGTGGGAGGGCGATGCGGAGACGATGGGCGCAGGGCTGAGTTTAGAGCAGGAGCATGCGAACTCGGGGGGGTGATGTCTGGATGAGATGCATTAGCAGAGGGGTTAGTCGGTAGATGACATGTACCTGTGTACATGAACATATGCACAGTACACTAGACGAACAGCACGACAGGACGATGGAGGCAGGGCTGGGTCACGGGACGGACGCACGATGATGGCAGCAACGGGTAGGTGGCGCGCTTGTGCCGTCACTGGTCACTGGTCATGTTCGTCGACGGAAGAGGTCCAGGGTGGGCAGTGGCCCGAGCTCCCAACGCCCGCTTGCTTGGGCTGTCGTCTGCTGTGACATGGCAATCTCCCAACAGATAGCCCTCGCACGCTTGGACTTCGCAAATAGAGCCCTCTCAATAATCGCTTTTGCCCTGTCGTGACGCTTCAATCGAGGGCGCAACGTCTCTGCCAAACATAAAAAAATTTCGTGCTGTCGTGTCACTGCTGCTGTCGCGCGGCACCCTCGCGCCTTCTGTCTGGATACATTACTGCGGGGAAACAAAAACAGCAACGCCCTTGCCTCGAAGCCATCCATCTGCAGCTAGACTCTCTGACGTGGAGACCACGGACAACTGTACATCTACTACCCCTCGGTCGCCTCGACTGAACGCTCCTTCACTCCAATTTTCAATTTTCATCTCTTTGCAACCATGGCTGAATCGCTGGAAGATGTGTACATCACGGTAGGCCTTCTTGCCCGCTCAATTGCATCCATTGCAGCCTGACTAACATGCCCCACAGCTCCTCATGAGCGACTCGTACCTGCCGGGTGCAGCAGTCCTGGCCCATTCCTTGCGAGATGCCGGAACCACGAAGAAGTTGGCCGTGCTCGTCACCCCCGAGACGCTCTCTGAGGAGACCGTCGAAGAACTCAAGGTGCTGTACGACTATGTGATTCCAGTGGAGCGTATACGCACTGCCAATACTGCCAATCTCTACTTGATGGGGCGTCCTGACCTAGCATATACTTTCACCAAGATTGCACTATGGAAACAGACTCAATTCCGCAAGCTAGTATATCTCGACGCCGATGTCGTTGCCCTACGTGCTCTGGACGAGCTGTTCGACATTGAGGCCTCGTTTGCTGCCGCCCCAGACATTGGCTGGCCAGATGCCTTCAACAGCGGTGTCATGGTCATCAAGCCAGACCTGAGTGTATACGAGGCTCTGCAGGCCATGGCAGCCGCTGGCGAGAGCTTCGACGGCGCAGACCAAGGCTTACTCAACCAGTATTTCGAGCACCGTCCCTGGCAGCGTCTCAAGTTCACCTACAACTGTACCCCGAATGCCGAGTACCAGTGGGAGCCCGCATACCGTCACTACAAGCACGAAATTGCCGCCGTTCACTTCATCGGCAAGAACAAGCCTTGGTCTGGCAACCATCCTGGTGGCAGTGGTGTATACGGAGAGCTGGTGGCACGATGGTGGGCAGTACACCAGAAGCATTTTGGCGATGGACAGAGAGCTGGTGAGACACATGGCACGCTAAGTGGAGCCATTAACTCTTCCTCTTTTGTCCCTTCCCCTGCAGAAGCTTCTTCTGTCCCCACCGAGTCACCCATAAATGATACTGAAAATGAAGTGCAAAATATTGACCAAGTTGATGTAGGAAATCTCGCGAACCCCTGGGACCCAACCAAGTATGTACCTGCACCTTGAATTCATACCCCTCATGCTAACATTCATAGGTCTGGCCCCCCATCCCAATCGAAGCCCGAAGCCGCCAACTTCCCGAACCAGACTTATGGTTTCAGCGACGACCCTTCACTTTTCAGAGCCCCAAGTGCCTATCCAGATGCTCCCAAGGACATGTGGTACCAAGTACCAGAGAATAAGCCAGAACCTGCTAACCTGCCTCCTCCCATCTTTCCATGGGAGCAGGCCGCCGACAGACCCCAGCCGACGCGTGTCTTTGCCGAAGACCGGTCGCCAGAACCCACTCCTGCTGTCGAGTTACCGACGCATCCCTTTTCGACTACCCACTTCGAAGGCGATGACAAGACGGCATCTGAGGGTGCCAAGAAGGAACCTTCACCTGAAAGGCCCTCGGGCCAGCAGTGGCAGTCTACCGCCGGCAATGCATGGGATAACGTGCCAGGTATCGACAACTATGTGCGCGCCGTATCCGACCTCAATGGGCAGCGTGGTAAGAATGCGGCTCTCCAGAAGACGACGGGTACAGACGACATCGGCTCGCCCACAATTGAGCGAGGTCGTCGCGAGAGCCTCATCCTCACCGACTTCCCTTCTGCTGTCGAGCGACCGAGCCTTCCTGTGACACCAGCCCCTGTCCGCCGTCCCATGTTCTGGGGTGATGAGAAGAACAAGACGGGTGAACTGCCTTCTGCGACAGGTGTGCCTGACCAGACCGAATGGGTGAGTCAACAATGAGTTATTCTTTGTGTTCACTCTCCGGATTGCTTCAACGACGACACGATATGACAAGAACTAACTTTGACGTACGAAGAATCCTGAGGAGAAGCTTGACCAGTTACAACGCTCATCCCTCATTGAATTTGAGCACCTCAAGAAGGATGAACACCCTGACCTGCCACTCCGCGAACTGCCAGAGCACTCTGTCGGGGATGCTGCAAAGGGACCTGACGGCGGTGACGTCCCGGTAGGCGAGCAGGTCAAGGTCTGAGGAAGGATGGTCATCTCACCTACTTTTGGCGATGACAGCCCCTCAGTCAAGACTAAGGGGTATGTTGTCAGTCCAACCAAAATTACAGAGTAAAAATGTCAGGGTCCGGACGAGTACGATGAGCGGATTGGAGGTTTTCATCACTTTCATTTACCAGACGATGCGATGAAGTCATATACCTTATGTTGTTGTTCGCTGTCATGGATTTTATCACGATTCTACACTTAGCCTTGCTGGCATTGCTGTTCTCTTCTGTCCTTGATTGGCGAGCTCACATCAGCATTTGCATCTGGATTGACTAGCGATTAGCTTGCTTTACTCGTCGTCATAACAATCAGCATTCGCATGAGCGTCGCTTTTCTTATCGTATACGACCCCGCTTGTTGACGAAAAAATTGCTGCTCTCTTTGCAAGGATCTAGAGTTAACATGGAGAGATAGCCGCTGGTGACGCCGTCTATACAGAGTACCACGTAGGTATGCATGTATGATACGCTCGGATGCAGGGTTTGCGGCACATGCATGGCATATGCATGCACGCCCCGACGGTGGGTCCGCACTAAAGAGCTTGACTTTAGCTGGCGTCTGTGCCGTTTGGTGTGTCCTCTCCCTTGGTCCCATGGCCCAGCTAGGTCATCCAAAATGCCCCGCTTGCCCCTCCCTCCGCTCGCGCCTCGGTTTGCTGCCCTCACACAACCACCTGCCCGAATAAAACTCCAACCAATCCGTAGACCGCGAATAAGCGACAATCTAACTCGCAGGCGTTTCTTCTGTCCCTCGCAGCCTTTTTGTTCATCATCATCGACTGGCTTTATTGCAACACCTAGACGCGTTGCTCATTCCATCCCCAAACGCATACCCAACGCCGACTGGCCCTATCTGTACCACGGATTCGACAAGATGGCGCACCTAGACCCCTACTTCAAGCAGGTCGATGATTTGCAAAACACCTTCATCGAGAGGCTGAGGGAGGCGGTGGCCATCCCCAGTATCAGTTCTGAGGACCAGAGGAGGCCTGACGTGGTCAAGGTATGTATGTCAGCTGTTGATAAGCCTGTCACAGCACGTGCGAGCTTTCTGAACATTGCATCTGACCGTGTTCTAGATGGGACACTGGCTCGCCGACCAGATCAAGGCTCTTGGTGGCACTGTCGAGCTCCGTGAGCTAGGAAAGCAGCCTGGTCGTGAGCACCTCGACCTCCCGCCCTGCCTATTGGGTCGCTATGGAAACGACCCCAAGAAGCTCAACGTCCTCGTCTACGGTCACTACGATGTACAGCCCGCAAACAAGTCGGATGGATGGGCGACGGATCCCTTTACACTCAGCATCGACGACAAGGGCCGCATGTTTGGACGTGGCAGCACTGATGACAAGGGCCCAGTTCTTGGATGGCTCAACGCAATTGAGGCTCATCAGAAGGCTGGCGTAGAGCTGCCTGTCAACCTGGTCATGTGCTTCGAGGGTATGGAGGAGAATGGATCTGAAGGACTTGACGACACCATCCGCGCAGAGGCCAAGAAGTTTTTCAAGGATGTAGATGTCGTCTGCATTTCGGACAACTACTGGCTCGGTACTGAGAAGCCTTGCTTGACCTATGGTGTTCGTGGCTGCAACTACTACCAGATTGAGATTTCTGGTCCTGGCCAGGATCTTCACTCTGGTGTCTACGGCGGCATGACTCACGAGCCCATGACTGACTTGGTGCGCATCATGAACTCGCTTGTTGATCCGGATGGCAAGATTCTCATCAAGGGTATCGATGAGCTGGTTGCCCCGCTTACCGACGAGGAGGCCGCGCTTTACCCACCAATTGCCTTTACCATGGACGGCCTGAAGGAGTCACTAGGTGGTGCCGTCACGATTCACGACAAGAAGGAGGATGCACTTATGTCAAAGATGCGATACCCCTCACTATCCCTTCACGGCATCGAGGGTGCGTTTTACTCTGAAGGAGCCAAGACTGTCATTCCAGCCAAGGTTATTGGCAAGTTCTCCATCCGAACAGTACCAAACATGGAGATTGACCCAGTGACGAAGCTGGTTGAGAAGCACATTAACGACGAGTTTGCCAAACTGAAGTCGAAGAACATGATGAAGTTTAGCGTCGTGCACTGCGGAAAGTGGTGGGTAGAGGACCCCAACCACCCCAACTACACTGCTGCCGCAAAGGCTGTTGAGCGTGTGTTTGGTGTGAAGCCTGACATGACGAGGGAGGGTGGAAGTATTCCCGTCACATTGACCTTCCAAGAGGAGCTTGGCAAGAATGTCCTGTTGCTGCCAATGGGTAGCTCAACTGATGCAGCCCACTCAATCAATGAGAAGCTCGACAAGAGGAACTACATTGAGGGCACTAAGCTGTTGGGTGCCTACCTGCATTACGTTGCAGGCGAGATGAAGCGTGATTAGACGGATGACAGTCGCAACTCATTGTAGGATTTTCTGGATGAGATATATTGAGTTGGAGATAGCACATGAATAAATAAAAAATATACCCTTTTCATACAGGTGCCTCTGTTAAAGCGTGGTTGACAAGCGCACCACTGCATTGCACAAGTGCGGTGCAGCTTTGACCAACCACATCGGGGCGGAACAACGAAAAAAGTTCGGCCTTGAGCCTCACCATCCAACGACCCCATCAACCCCATCTTGTGCATCGCCGGGCCACACCACACCCCAAGGTCCAATTGCACAACCAACATAATGGCAACATGTAAACCACTCCTCCGGGTCTGTCCATCGACCCTCCAACCCGCATCCCTCCTGCCACGGACCCAACAACGCTTCGAATCCACAACCCGGCGACACAGAAAACTACTCGCGCTCCCCGCCGCACCATCCTACACACCAGACACGTCGTCGCCAACTCTAATCTTCAACCCCCCTTCCTCAGCGCCCAGCATCCACCACACCCCGCTAAAATTCCTCCCCCAAACCGACAAGCGCCGCAATCTCTACGCCAGCGCCCACCAACAACTAGCCCGCACCGCCCTCTCCACCCGCACCTCCCCCATCGCTTCCCCCGGAACACCCCTTCAAAGTTCCAGCTACCTTCCCCCAAAACCCTCCACCTCCCTCCCACCTCCTGTACGGCAACCGTATGAAAAACAATACCACCTCACCGAAAAGGAAGTGACCGAAATACGGCGTCTGCGCGCCCAAGACCCGGATACGTGGACGCGAGTTAAACTTGCGGAGAGGTTTGGGTGCAGTCAGTTTTTCGTGGGGTTGGTTGCGAAGAATGCAGGGAAGGCGGAAAGGGTGGCTAGGGAGCAGGAGGGGATGAGGGAGAAGTGGGGAACAAGAAGGAGGGAGGCGAGAGAGGATAGGGGGAGGCGGAGGGTGGCATGGGGGAGGGACGAGTAGATTATGAGAAGGAAGGAGGGGGAGGAGGGGAATTAGGAAGAAAAAGACATGTTTGAGAGGGCTTTTTACATCTTCTATGGTTTTGATGGAGATGGAGGCTGAGACGGAGATATGTATGAGGTCTATTCGACCCAAGGGAGAAAGAAGTTATACGACCATTACAACGAAGGAAAATTTACCTAGAATCAAACCGTTCTCCCTTACTTCTTCTTCTTCTTCTCAGCTGTCTCCACACCTTGGTCATTGATTTTAATTAAGAACCCCCTTCCTTCTCCTCCCCCTCCAGTACCTCCTTCTTGCACACCACCACCAACCCTCCACCCCTCACACCATCCCCCGCTAACAACCCCCCACCTCTCCCCCTTCTCCTTTTCCATCTCCTCCACACTTGATCCCGCGCCAAACTTCTTCACCTCGACTTTCCGCAGCACAACCCGCGTTTCGCCTACATCCCTGCCCCACGTCGGCATCGCAGGACGCAAGTACCTTGCGCTCATCGAGCGACTGGTTGTTACGAGTGCGCAGGAAAGTAACTTTGAGAGATTGAGGAGGCGGAAGGTTAGTGTTGCGGATGCGGATGCGGGGGTAGATGTAAGGGGGAGGGTGGGGAGGAGGGCGTCGGTGTCTTCGAGGATTAGGGAGTGGATGCTTCGATGTGTGCTGTGGTGTGCGGTTGGGTTGAAGAGGTAGGTGGGTAAGGAGCGGAGGGTGGAGATTAAGGCGGGAAAAGTTGGGGGATGGAAGATGTGGAGGTGCGACAATGCGCTGCGTACCATTTCTTTTAAAGCAGAAGGTGAGGGAGCTGGGTGTAGAGTCGAAGAGAAGATCTGGATGAGGGTTGAGGCTAGGAGGGGGATACTGAAGTGGTGTAAGGGATCGATGAGGATTATTGCGTTTGAGGAGGTGGGGGCGGAGAGGGCGGTCGCGATGATGAGGGTTACCAAAGAGGTTTTTCCGGAGCCGGAGGGTTGGTGAGAGGTTGGTGGGGAGACGAGGGAGAGGATTGGGGGGGAAGGAGAGGGGGGAAGGAGGGAGGAGAGGAGTGGGATGGAGAAGTAGGTGCTGGGAATGTTAGTTCGAGTTGGTGACGAAGAAGGGGGGATTTTCGTTTAGAGAGAAAACGGACCTTTGGTTGGTGGTGCTTGGATGGATTAGACGGAGGGATTTGAGTACCTAATTTCTCGTGTTAGGAATATTGATTCATGTTGTGTATGTTTTTTGTTGTTGTAGTGATGATATCTACGTACCGAGTTCAAATCCGTAACTTGAACATCTGCCAGCGACTTCTCACCGAATCTCCTCGCCTCGTCTCCGTTCATCGTCTTCTTCCTTCTTCCTACAACCTCCTCTTTTTTTCTAGTCCTTATCTTTCAATCCTCGATTCTCTCTTGACACCACTCACAACATTTCCTGTAGTTGAAACACAATGGCACCACCTGTTTCCGCGATTCCGGTCTCAGAACTGGAAATGCAGCTGAATACGCTTCCGTCGGGTCGAGCGCGGAATCCACCAATTGCGCTAAGCGAGTGCGCGCTGAAAGAGCTTGTGCAGTACAAGTGCAATGTACAGCCTGCAGAGAAACAAGGGGGCGTGCCGAGTGTGGTGTGTGAGCCTGTTGTGCGGATGCTAAGAAGGTGAGTGGTGTGCGAGATGTTTGTTGAAAGAGCTTGGCAGCTTGATCAGTGGTAACGGGAGAGATGGACAGATGATTTTTTTCCGTTAGAAGCTGCATACAATGCTAACAGTCTCTTAGATGTCAAGGAGGACTTAGTGTCGAGACGACTGCTTGGGAGGGATGGAAGGCAAGACAGAAAGGCGCGAACAGCTAGATGCGAGCGAGTTGCCACACCATCATGCATAAAGCCTTTTCGATAATCCTAAATACATACAGATACGTCTAATTGGAAATCACAAGACATCGATTAACCACTATCATTCACGGTGAATAACACAAAATAATGAATACGTAATCAATTGATAAATAATAAGACGACGCATCAATGGCCCTCGATGCCGCTCCCATGGGACAAGCAACTATAGTACAACGTCCCACAAGAAAGTGAACAAAAAACGTGATCAACGCCGGTGAAATGCCCCAAACGTGCCTTCATATCTCCAAGGCGGGAATGCCCGAATACCCAAACGCCTCGCTACCAAAATGCTTTCAAGATGCTTTTTCTTTCTTTCTCACAATGTGCTACTGCTTAGAGCCGACGTGATGACAGGTATTAAACGCCGCTCCCGAATTTTCTCCAGTATTTGCGCTCGTAGTTGACGTGGACGCCTTCTTCCAAATTGACATTACGATCAGTTGTGGGCTGCCGTGTTGGGGCATTATGTGATGTATTCCAACCATCATCCTCATCCAGATCCATCTGTGCTTGTCGTCGCTCCTCGTCCTTTTCGCGCTGGTGCTCCTCGTTCAACAAATCTGTCATAGCTGCTTGCCATAGCTTGTCGCTCTCTTTCATGCGTTTACTTCGCTTCCGCTTGCCCACATTCTGCTTCTGGACGCCCGCTTTTTGTGCTGCCATGAGCTTTCTAAGACTCTGTTCGGCCAAGATGCCCTCTTCTGTTGCCTTTTCCCGAATCTTTCGCGGATCGTGTTCACGGTTGGTGAAGACTGGTGTCGCAGAATATGTGTGCTTGGAAGGGAAGCCAGGAAAGTGTTTTGGGATATAAGGGCGCGTCTCCTTGTCTGCCTTGCCCGACAACTCGGGGCCTAACAAGGACTCGGTGTCCGGAGGTGGGGCTTCTGGGGGCACGGGAGGTGCAAAGTAGGGCTGTAGTAGCGATGGAGGGATTTCACCAGTATCAAAATGTTGGTCAAGGGGTGCAGATCCGCGAAGACCCGAAGATGCAAGCGCGTATATCCAGTCGTGTGCCACTGTTTCGGTGCGGCGCGAACTGGTCATGGACTTGTGCACTTGGCTTAGAAAGTGGCTCATGTCTGGGTCAGGTCAGTCTGAGAAACTCTAATGGGCTGTGCAGCCAGCTGGCGTCGCAAGGTGAAGCCATACAGGAATCAACCAGCGCCCGGAACTGCTCCAGCGCGTCCGGGCGCGCACCCTCGAATCCCATGCTCTTGCATTGTATCGCTATTGCGCGCCGCAATTGCTGGTCGAAAAAGTCCTTGCTTTCACCAAAGCTATCAAACTCGGCGCTGACAGGGTCGACAATGTGCTGGACTGGCTGCGTGTGGTGCAGTGCATGCACGACTCGCCGCTTCCTCTGCTGCGGCTCCCCATGTGTTGGCGCGTTGTCCGCCACATGCGCTCGCTTCATGCCTGCGGTTGCGCCCTCGCTGCTGGCGCTGGGAGAGAGTATGATGCCTGGCATATGCTGCTGGTGGTCCCGGGTTTGGTGTTTGGGGGGGAGGGGGGGTTGGTGATGTCGCAGGCCGGATGCGTGTACGCGAGGATGGTAAAGTTATCGGTCGATGGGCGCGCAGTCGAGCGTGAGAGATGGCATGGACTGCAAGAGCATGCACCTGCGATTAAACCGGACGTGAATGTGCGAGAGATTCGGCGATCGATCGATGTTATTGTTCCTTCACTTTGTTTGCTGGCGTCGTGCTTGAGTCGGAAGCTCTGAGAGCGCAGGGCGCTAGGCCACTTTGCCTTACGTCAGCAGCAGCAGCAGCAGTAGTTCTCCGTCGAACCACCACAACTTCAGCATACCCGCAGACGACCTTCACCAGCTCCCGCAACCCGCACCCGCGTCCCGAAACTCTCCACTCCCCCGAAACCGAATTCAAAATGGCCATCAAACCGATTACCGGCGTATGTGCTGCCATTGAGTGTCTTGGGCAGCAGCGGGCAGGAGGCTAATGATTGGATTGCAGATGCTCAAACGACAGATCGTGCTCGATCTCTCTGTTGCCATGGGTGCGTAGAGCTCTTGCAGTGTGTGCGCGATAATTTCTGGGCCTTGAAACAGGCATATGGGGTTGCGCGCGGGTTTGGGGAGCTTGGCTAACAGTGAGGGCAGGTATTGGCGTTGTTGCCGGCTACGGCTGGTGGTACGGTACGTGATATCATCTTGGACTTGCAACCGCGAAGAGTGTTGCTGCAACGAAATTCACGACTCGATACTTACGTTCCAAGGCTACCACGTCCCCGCCGTTCGTCACCGTGACGCTTTCTACCAGAAGCTCGAGGACGAGCGCGCATCAGCTCTGGGCCAGAAATAGACGACTACCATGCGAACGTCGGCATGATGTCTTTGTCAATTAATCATCGGATGATGGAAAAGATGATGGCTGTGGATTGGGTGCATCCCAAGTAGAGTGGAGTCATAGAGCAAGCCAAATCAAACACGGTCAAACAGCCCTACACGTGTGTTGTTTGCGTGCAATCATATCTTCATATTACATCTTGTGTTTTTTTTTGGATGAAAGTGCAGCTTGTAACGCTTGTAGTGAATTCTATATGCTCACTGCCATCTTGGCAGGCCGATTGGACACATCAGGTTTATGTTTAAACTAATGATGTTGTCAGGCGTGATAAGAATGCGGGGCTGTATGGTATGGGTGGATGGCCAAATGAGAGAAGAGATTGGATTGGCATTCCAAAGGGCAGTCATGAACATGTGCAGGCATCAAGGGTGTTAGATTGCTACTACATCTGTTGTTGCTGACTGAGATTAGTCACATGACAAGTGCTGACATGAACATCAGGTTGGGCAGTGGAGCCTTCGGCAACATCCGAGGGCGGTGCATCCAAGAGGGCCAGGGAGTGGTTGCGCGATGAACAGTGATACGAGGTGTATGAGGAGACTTGTACTGAAGCAGGGTGCAAAGCAAGAATGGATTGGCGCAGTTGGCATCGGCATCCGCGACGGGCCGGGAAGCAGTGAAGTGATGGCGGTGGATGGTTTATGGTACTCTACTCTGAAGGAGGCGTGACGTGGGCGGTGGGCGGTGGGCGGTGGGCAAGGAGGCATGACGCGATATGCAAGCATGGAAACAGGTACATGTGTGTGTGTGTACACTTACAGGGCGATTCGCACTGGGGCAGAGATGGCGAGGGCGTCTGATGACCGTGGGGGTGTGAAGCAGCGGTGGCCGAGCAGGAAACGTGTCGGGCAAGGCATGCGATTGGCTGCATGGCTGGCTTGGTTCGTTCCCTGGCGATCACGACCAACCCATGGTGGTGGTGGCTGCAGGGGAGCGAAGGCACTGGCCGCCAAGGATCGACGTGAACCCAAAGTGTGGGCAGGCCAGGCAGGATTCAGCAGCCATTTGCACACGTGGATCGAACGAAGCTGACGATGGAAGGGCAGGCGTGCTGACAATGAGCAGCAGAAGTGGCAAGGGGCATGCAAAAAGCAACATCAGGGGGGAGTGGTTATCGACGTCGAACTGGGAACCAGAGGCGAGTGCTTTGACAGCGGCCTTGCTGGCTCGGAACGGGGGGGTGGATTCCTGGCGTGCGGCGTCCTAGCGTTAGATGCTAGTCCTTCACCATGCGCTAGGGCAACGGGTAGTCGATCTAAGAGGCAGATTGAGGGTGGGCGTGAAGAAGACGCGAGATGCGACGTTTCTGTGTTTGAGCAAGGAAGGCAGGGGAGGGGGGGATGCGAGAGTATGTGTGGTTTTGTGTTGGGCGAAACGGAGGCGCTGTAAGGGCGGGCATGGAGGCCACGTGGTGGAGAGGGAGAAGGGCAGCAAGGGGGGAAGAAGAGGGTGCAGCGGGTGGCGGAAGCAGCGACGGTGATTTGTGAGGGAAGGTGGTGGTGATGAGGGAGGGTACTTGACTTGGGAGTCGACTTGGGAGATTAGTAGAACGACTGGGCTGGGGTCCAGGTCATTTCAGCGGTGCGAGGTAAGCAGATTGGACTTTTGCCCTGATCACCGGCCGAGCGAGGAGCGGGGCGTGTGTGGGCTTTTGCGCATCGTCGACGCCATGGGGCGCGGGCGGGCCATTGACACTGGGGTTTTGATCACAGCAGAGGGTGAAACGCAGATGGACGGGCGTCGACACAAGGGCAGCACAGGCAGCTCTGAGTTGCAGCAGTTGTAAAACAAGAGGCAAACCTAGTAGAATGGGCGCGGGTGCAAGCGCGTGAGCAGCACGAGGGCAGTTTGGTGGCTGCGGAAGAGTTGGTGGGGACTGCGAGGCGCTACTAGTCGGCCTGTCCAGGGCCCGCGCCTGTCGCCTTTCCGCTGGGAGGCTTGCCCGGAGGCTGCCCAGAGGCCCAGATGGCTTGCTGCTGCTGGCTGTCAGTCAGTCACTCCGTCAGGTGTGCAGACACAGATGGCGACCAGGGTCACGCTGGTGACTCGGTGCGTTGCGTGGGTGCGTCGTGAATAGACGGGCGGACGGCCGTTGGGCTGGCGCTGCACTGCTCCCCGCTGTGCCCGCTGTGTGGGCGAGTGTGTGGTAAGCAGGTACTTGTATACACGATATACCATGTACGCATGTACATACATAACATACATACATATGTACGTACACTACACACACACACACATGGCCATACTTGCAGACACATGTACTGGCGCTGCAGTCATGGCCGTCGCTCTGCTGCGGCGGCGAGACGGGACGCTAAGCCGCTTCGGGCGCAATACAGGCATCGCTGAGCGTTAGAAGACGGGGGGGACTGGCTAGTACGCATAGCGATCCCTGCAGGCAGGTGCGACGGCGCCGGGCGCACTTGCTCTGTGCATGCCCTGCACCTGCCTGCTCAGCCAGCACGCCCGACTGCTGCCATTGTTGGTGCTTGCTGCTGCTGGTACTGTTGTCGCTGCTGCTGCTGCTGCTGCTGTTGCTGTGCTACTGCCACTTCGTCGCCAACCATAGCACCTTGACGAAACTCGGAGAACCGCCGTTGCCTGCCTGCCTGCCTGCCTGCCTGCGACGCGTCCTCGTCCTCGTCCTCTGCCTTGCCCTGCCCTACTCTTCCTCTCTCCTCTCCTCACCTCTCTACTCCCACACCACCACTATTTCCCTCCCTTCCCCCGCTGTATCACTGCCCTCTTTCGTCTGCATCGACGCGCACCCCCCGGCCTCTGCCACCGCACACAATCTAGGCGCCTTAGGCTTGGATGCTGCGACTGCTGCGACTGCTGCTGCGCTAACGCCGCCGTCGATCACACACCAACGAGCCGCAGCTGGCGAGCTGTCGACTTACTGCTGCTGCTGCCGCCGCTGTGCCCTTGCCCTTGCCCTTGCCCTTCACCCTTCACCCAAGCCTCACTCGTCGTGTTGGCTGCATGCTGGCCCTGCTCTCACCCATCCTCCTCTGCCCCCACAGTCTGCCTGCTCTCGTCCACGCACACACACACTCTCTCTCTCACAACCTAACCCACATCGACTACCCTCTCTCCTCCCTCAGGCCTGTCATCTTCACCGCCCGCCCGTGGTGCCTCTCACTCGCCTACTCGACGCCCGTGCCCATCCCGCCGCCTGCCGTCTGCCGCATCACTCGTCCGCGTCCTGCATGAGTGTTGCTCTTCTCTACACCTCTGCGGCACCGCACCGCCGTGTCTAGAGCTCACCGCACCGCCTGCCTGCCAGCTAGCGCGTCCCTAACCCTTTGCGCGTCGCCATGAACAACCCAAACATGCAACAGAACGGCATGCAGCAGGGTCGCGCCACCGCCGGCATTCACCACTTTGTCCAGCACTATCGCGTCCAGCAACAACAGGGCAAGATCCCAACAGGATGGCAGCAGACGACGTCGCCCGACGAGCGCGGCCAGCTCGCTCTGCAGTTCTTCACCCAGTACCGCCTCCTCAAGCCCGATATCCCAGAGGTCGAGTCGATGCGAGCCGCCCTCCAGTTTGAAACGCAAAACTTCATGTCCGCCGCTTCCAAGGAACAGTACCTCTCGCAAATCAAGCAGAAACTCATCGTCATGACGACCGCACGGCAACAGCAGCTGCAGCGCCTCCAGGGCGGCATGCCAAACAACATGAACAACGCCATGAACGGCATGACTCCAGCCCAGATGAACATGATGAATCAGATGGGTCAGCAAGGCGCGCGCCAGCCCCAACCACAACAGTTCAACCCAGCATTTCCAAACGCTCAGCTTCAGCGCCCCATGCAAGTTTCTCCTGTCCCCATGACACAAGGCCAGTCCTCCATGGGTGTCAACGGAGCCAACCCTGTCAACATGGCTCAAGGTCAAAACGCCCAGCAACCAAACATGCAACCCAATCAGCAGCAAACACGACAGGAACAGTTAATTATCAATCAGTTTGCGAAAAAGTTGATGGATACTTGCAAAGAGGAGGTTCGCGTCAAGTTTGAGAACGATGTCCGTGCCTGGCCTGAAGACAAGAAGCAGCAGTTACTCAACCAAGGAATCAACCCCCTCTTCCTCCGCTTTCGTCAGCACGCTGAGATGCTCTACCGAAGGGGCGCGCTGAATCAGCCCGCAGCTGGCCAGAATAATGTCGCCATGCAGGGAACACCTCAGCAGAACCGCATGCAGGGACAGCAGATGAATATGAATCAGCGCCAAGCCAATCAGGATTTCGATTTCACTGAAATTGCCAATCGGCAAATGGAGGCCATGCGAAGCCAGGACCAAGGTACAACTGTAGTACCTGCGAGCAACAACCCAAACAACGGTGGGCAAATGGGTGGATTTCAAGGTCAGAATCCGCAGCCTGGCCAAGCTCCAAATGCCATGGCACAGCGCCAGGCAGAAGCATTTCACCGCCAGGCACAAGCACAGCAAGCACAACAAGCACATGCTCAAGCTCAGGTGCAGGCGCGATTAGAACAACAGCGCCAACAGCAAGTAGCTCAAGCAGCGCGTAATCAGCAGAATCAATTGCTGCAAGGCCAGATTGGCGGCTTGAACCTCTCGCAGGGCACCCAGCAGCCCAGTCCTGCCATGCCTATGCTGAACCGACCAATGCCTCCACCAGGTCAACCAGGCCCTCCAGGAACGCCGCAGCAACGTCCACCCCAAGCTCATGTCCCTATTATGACACCGCAGCCTGGGCAGACGGATCCAAACCTGACTGAGCTCATGCGGCAAGCGCAGCAAAGAGCTGCTGCTGTCCAGCAGGCCAACCAACAACCACTGACTGATCAAGTCCGCATGAGCATGATGCCCCCTGACCTGGATGCCTCTGTAAAGCAACAGCTACTCAAGGTGCCAGAGCACCAGTTCCGCGTCATCCTCCAGAGCTACATGATGAATCTGCGCAGGAATAACGGCGGTATGCCCAACGGAGCATTCCCAACTGGACAGCCGAATGGAGGCCAGCCAAACATGGCCTTCAACCAGCAACAGCAGCAGCAGCAGCAGCAACAACAGCAACAACTCCAGCCTGGCGTTGCTGGTCAAATGCTTGGCGGACCTAACATGCAGGCTATGGTTCGACCTGGTATGAATCTCGCACAGCCACCACCTGGTACTGGTCCTCAAAATCCCATGGGTGCCCAGCGCGGTCCTATGCCGAACCAGCAACAACGTGTTGCTGCTGCATCCAACCTGCTCCGTGCCAATCCTGGAATTATACATACCACCGATCCTAAGCCATTCCCTCCCAACGTGCTAAACGCGCAAATTCGACAGAGCCTTCCACCAGACGTCAGAACTTGGCAACAGCTCAAAGCCTGGGCTAGTCAGAACCCTGCTTTAGTGCCTGGTGTCGACGGTCAAAAGTTACTCATGTTGCAAGTTCTACACTTCCAAGATATGGTCAGGCAGTCGAATGGCGTCGCTGGCGTCCATCCGACACCACAGCCTGGCCAGGGACTCGTCCCGCCAGGTCAGATCAACCCGAATCAAGGCCCTGTCAGGACACCTCAGCAGCAGCCGAATATACAGAACATGGCGGCACTTCAGGTCACTCCTCAAGAGTTGCAGCAGTTCCGCGCAAGGATGGTTGGTCAGCCACAAGCCAACCTGCCAGACGACCAACTGCGCGGCCTTATGATCTCCATGAGGATGAAGAACCTTCAACAGCAGAGACAACAGCAGCAGCAATCCGCCATGCTCAACCAACAAGCTCAACGTAACCAAGCCCAACCTGCCGTCCCCATGGGTGCGCAGCAACAACCACAGCATCAGCCCAACCGACCACCTGCGGCGCAACCGCAAACACAAGCGACACCCCAGCCCAAACCAGCGATGAAGCCACAGCAAGCACAACCCACACAGTCGCTTCCTAACAATAATGCCAATAACAACAATACTGTGAACAAGGGTACGAAGAGGTCACATGAGGACACAATGGAGTCTGGTAATGAGACGACTCCACAAGCTCTCCCTATGGCGTCTTCAAAATCTCAGCCTGGTCTTAACCTCACGCAAGAGCAAATGTCTAAGCTTACCCCCGCACAACACGCGCAGTACAGAGCGCAGTTGCTGAAAGCCCAGGATGCATCCAACAACAAGATGCAACAACAGCGCGGCGGCATGCTCAATTCTGAGGAGCTTCGGCAGAGAATGAGTGATCCTGCACGCATCCGGCAGTTTAAGCAAATGATGGAGGAGGTGGAGAAGAGTATACCCGCGAAGCAGCCAATCGCACTGCCACCGGCAGCACGTACCGCTCTACAGAAATCGCTAAAGGAACAGTTCCAACGCCTAAAGCAGTCGGACCAAGCACTTCGCATCTTCCATGCCTCGTACGATACCAACGAGCCCGAACCAGTCATTCGTCAAATCATGCGATCGCGCGCGCTTTTGTTTAAGCAAATCAACGAGGCCGATGGCACTCTGCATCCTCAGGTGACACTGACAATCGAAGAATTTAAGAATCATTTGAGCACGATATTTAAGTTTGTCATCAAGATTCAGGAGAAGGTTAAGCAACAAACACAGGGTCAGGGCCCAGCTGCCCAGCAATCCCAGCCTCAGGGTTCGAATGCCTCGCCTGCCCAACTTAATGCTGCAAATCTGAAGATCGTAGAACAACAAAACCGCAACCAAAAGGCCCCGTCCGCCCCTACGACCGACCGACCACCGTTCGCCATTGGCGCCGACCCCGGCCATGGAGCCGCGCATTACTTTGAGGGAGCAAGACCAGTCACGAACCTCGTGTTACCTGAAAAGAAGCGTGCGAAGCTCGAAGCAGGCAGCCAATCATCGACACCTGCTGCCAGGGCCTCTCCTCACATCAGCTCAGGCAACTCGCCTGAACTCAGGAGGCAGCCAGCGCCTGACAAGCAAGTACCACAACGACCGACATTCCGATGCAACGATACGACGTGTGAATACTCTGTACGGGGCTTTGATACCCAGGCCGAACTCGACTTGCACAGCCAAATACACGCAAAGGTCGAAAACCCGATGCAGTTCGCTCTCGACTCCATGGCTGAATACCTCGACATTGACCAAAAGACTGGCGAAGCGAAGACGGACCCTAATGCCTCCAAGTCGACGCCAAAGGCAGCCCCAGCTACCCTGCGAGCACCGCCGCAAAACATCAAGACTGAGCAAACTCCTGGTGCTTTGCAGAACGCTGCTACACCTGTCGGACAAACAGCAACAGCCTCGGCCATGGCGCGCGTGCCCACACAGACTGGGATCAAGGACTCGCCGTCGTCTAATCTACTGAAGACGCCGCAAACTATGACTAAGGTGACTACTCCTGGCTCAGGTGCGCGAGGCAAGGCCACGCCAGTCAGCATTCCCAAGTCTGTACCAAAGGAGCAGCAAGTGGCAGCGTCGGAACCAGCGGCAAAGGAAGAGGAGCAACAGCAACAGCCACTGCTGCCCATGTCGCTTCTCGATTGTTCGTACGAAGATACGTTTGCAGCTCTGGATGCGAATGGGCCTTTTACCGTGCTTGATCTTAAGGATGAGGACAACGCCTGGGCGCTTCGGTCTCGGCCTGCCTCACCGTCAACTACGCCCGAGTCGTCTTCCAAGGACACGCCGTCTACGAGGCAATCGGATATTTCGGAGAATGACAACCTTGTCATTAGCATTGATCTTAAGGATGCGGACATGCCTGACGCCTGGGCCGTCGGCATGTACGGCGACGCACTTCCGGTGGACCTGCAACTATCGGAAGACTTGCAAAACCTCGGCGTCATGCTTCCTCCCATGGACAGCGAGGATATGATGTTATTTCCCGACTATGGAAATGGAACGATGATGGATCTCGACATGCTCGAGAAGACTATGGATAGTATGGGCGGAACACTCGATGCACCTATTGTAGGTGTATGATTTTTGAAAATTTTATATCTTGGGAGGCTTTTTATTTCTTGTCCTTTCTTCTACTAGCGTTGCCCAATTTTCATATGCAAAGTTTTTTCAGTGCGTGTGTGTTTTTCGGAATTTCTACATCGCTTTTGGGCCAATCCTTTTTTTTCTTTCTTTTATAATCTATTACGCCAATGTATTACCACTTTCTCCTGTTACATGCATCTTGGTTTCTCCACCCACCCACCCGCTCCCCCGCATTCTTTCTATTTACTTGGATGTATGGAGTTTTTGGAGGCTCTTTCTCTCTTCTTTCTATTTGAGCTGTTTTACGGCCGAGATACCGTCCAGAGTTCATGGGGAAATGCGAAATTTATGGGTTGTGTGTGCACTCCTTTGCTTTAAACCTTTTTTTTTTGCTATACGAGTGGAAATGCGAATATAAACTGGCACTCATTCTCTCGGTGTTTCATTGTGGGGGTTATTGTGGTTTCCGCAAAGTTCATCATATTTTCCTCACTATATCATCTTGATTTCTTGCTGGTTTTTTTTCGGTGGTAACAATATTGTTGTTTTTTTGCGTGCTTGTTTTCCACGTCAATCGATATCCCCAATATATCCCAATGTTTAACTGTCGTCTCTTCAATGTTCCATGCAACAACCTGTGGGAAATATTTTTGGCAAATATTCTAGGTTTAGAAAACTATGATACCACTTCGATTATCCCCCTCCCCAAAAAAAACGAAAACGAAAACTCCTTTTTCGCCACTCACATCTTCCGCGCACCATATCCCCCCCCCCTCTCCTCCTCTCCCTCCTTTCTTTTTCCCCTCTACTCATGTACCTACGAACCTCCCTCATCGTCCATGTTAACAATGTCTCTCCACTCCCCCCCCCTTCCCTTGCGATCGCAATCGCGTTTCCCCATACCGCAAAAGCAAACCCATGCCTCTCTCTCTCTCTCTATCATCCAATCACCACCCTCAATCAACCCATTCAACATATGCAATCCACGTCGGGATAACCTAGATCATGCCAATGCCGATGTATGCGCTACAACTCGGGTATTGCGTATGTAACATGTGTGGCGATGGACTAGAGTATGTACTCGCAGTCAAGTTGGACAAGGACAAGGGAGTGAGGGGTTGTGGTAGCAAGGATGAGAGTGGGATCGAGAGCGGGATCGAGAGCGGGATGGGAGAAGGTAATTGGTGGATGGAGGAATGGGGGAGGGGATGGGGATGGGGATCCGGGGGTGGATGTAAATGTGTGGTGGTGTGTTGGGGGAGGGGGGGGAAGAGTAATCGTGATTTGGAAGTATGTATGTAGGAGAGTGGAGAGGTGTGAGATTGGGTACACCGAGAGGGCATTGTGTTGGTGGGAATTGGGGAGGGGGAAGAGATGGGGTGGTAGGTATGGAGTTTGGGAGGAGAGTTTGTTTGGTAGAGGTCAGGTAAAGTACAGTTTGTATACAGTTTTCGGATGTAGAGTAGGTGTATTCAGCTACTATGTAGATGACAACGGTTACATGAAAATACAGTAGTGATGGTAATTCCTTCATTCGCCAACGGGCAACGGCAGCGGAAACGGCACATAGGCCCGGCTTGGTAGGATTCTTATCGAAGTACTACATACGGTCCACACACACACACACACACACACACATAAAACCGACGCGAATGGCGGTTTTCCGACCGACGGCCAAAAGAGCCGTGAGATGGTGACGTCATTATTATACGTGCAAGAGCCACGACCAACGCACAAAGGAAAACAAAGATGAGACAAGAAGCAAAGAAGAAAGAAAGAAAATTTCCTCAAAAGACCGTTGCAGGTTGGGTGCATGGATGCAATTGGCAAAGGGATATGTGACGCAACAAACGACCGAAAAACGGACCGTTTGGGCAAGCCAAGCGAATGATTGCCATGTTTTTCTTCCGCGTGGGATGCAAGATGGGTGATGTGAGCAAAAGGTTTGCTGACGCTGGCAAACAGCGCGGGGTTCGTGAGCCATGACGAGCGGGTGGTTCGCCCCGCAATCGTCAAAGGGGGGGCAAAAATGCCACATGACCCGTCTTTTTGGCTCCGTGGGACTAGAACGTCGCCTTGCCTCTAATTCGAGGTCGGCGAAGACCCTGAGGTTCAACCATGGTACACGTGCCATATGTGTTTGTTGAGAAATGGCGTGGTTTTGACACGGTGCGACAAGCCCACATGTCCCACGAGTGAAAGCAAGCGAAGCGGTTTGCCTTTACATACATGCACTAACTGGTACCATGGTACGACGGGCACCTCCCCTTGGTTTGGTTGCATTGCATGTCCCAACGACAAGGGATGAACGCCTCCATAGTGTGTATCGGAGAAAAAAGATCGAGGTGATGTTGCCCAAGGTGCACACCAACAGTCTATACTACTACACTTAGGTTGCGGGATGTGAAGGCGGAAGAGGAAGAAAAAAAGAAAGAAAAAAGAAAATCTTTGGGCGATATGACGTTGAGCGCATGCATGGCCGAGTGGCGACTTACACTAGATGCTGGAGTATGTACCTACTGTCCACCTACCTGTGCTGTCTAGGTTTGACTATCGGCCTACATGTAGGGAACCAACAGAGGGAATCGCATGGCGCAATGACGGATGCGAGGAGCTATTCTCGGCGAGCTGGGGTGCAAGGGGACGCCACGCGGGTCATGCTGCGAGGATGACTTGCACGGCAAGATGAAGATGTGTCAGCGCCTTGCTGTGAAAAGGTAGCGTTGGACGGTAAGAGACGTCGTGGAAATGCTAAACATGTGTCGTGCGGAAAAGCTGCTATTTGCGGACACAGTAGTATGAGATGGGAAGTGACCTGAGCGGTGAGGGCAAGGCTTTGGGCGGTGAGAATGGTAGTGGTTGGTGAGACATGACCATGGACAGGGTCTAAGGGGTGGGTCTGGGGTAGAATGAGCATCTGGTTCTGCTCGGGTGTGTAGCCAGCTTGCGAGAATCTTGGGTAGCGGTACGTGGTCGGGGATGGTTAGGTATATTATAGGGGAGATGCTAGTAAGCGGGCGGGACTTTGTGTTTGTGATAAAATACGCTTGTGGAGATTGGAAATTGCGATGATCATGCTAACCAAGACGAGCCGAATGCAGTGGCCCAAGACGGCTAGGTGTGTACGGCGATTTCGCTAAGATTGCCGCGGCTCGTTGCAGTTGCCCCCCATCAGGGCGTCTTTGGCTTTGGGCGTGCATGGGGGTGCTGGAAGCCAACACCAAGAAGCAGACAGATGCGCGTCACGGCCAGCATGTAGACAAAGGGGATGTTGCCAATGTCAATGGCATTCCAGTGCCAGAAGCTCCAGTAAATGTGGGCGCCGAGTGGCAACACCGTGTACAGGTGCCCAAAATCGGCGAGCAGCAGGCCGATGAGAAAGGTTTTCCAAACTTTGATGTCTGGAGTGGCGCGCAGGACTGAGGCTTCGAGAAAAGCAAGGCCGAGATACATGTTTGCCAATTGAGTCAGGACGATTTTTGTTGGGATGGGGACGAGTGCATCTGGGGCGCTTGGGGCGTGCATGGTAAGGTCCAGGTAGGTCGTCTGGAAGCATGCTGCATACACGGCGCCGAGTAGAATGGAACATGGTTCTATCCACAAGAAGACGAAGCGGTAGAAGCCGGGTATTGTTAGTGCGGGTGGAGCGGCAGCCGGCATGTTTGAGTGCGAGTGGTTTGGTTTCGAGTGGTGTAGACGCGACTCAGCCCAAAACCGTCGCAGGGCGGGCGTGCCCGGCGGTGGTAGCAAGAGGGTGGTAGTGTTGCAGCGAGGCCGGGATGTGGAGGATGATGGGGGGTTGTGTTGGAGAAGGGAGAGAGGGGAGGGGAGGATGATAAGCGATGAAGAAGCAAGGGGTGGGGAGGGGGGAAGTGTGCCAGGAATAGTAGGTAGAGGTGAAAGAAGTAGTGGTGGGTGGCAGTGGCGATGGAAGTAGCAATGGATGCAGCAGTAGCGGAAGCAGCGGCAGCGGCAGCGGCAGAAGAAGAAGAAGAATGAGTAGAAGAAGAACAAGAAGGCCGAGAGGGTGGCAATGGGTGTGGCGGTGATGGCGGTGATGGCGGTGATGATGGTGTTGTGGTGTGCATGAGCAGCAAATTGCCAGGGGTGGAGCCGCGAGACACTTGTCGCCGCCGTCGTTGTGTTATGATCGGCTGGCACTAGCAAGCACAGCGGTGCGACGGAATCTGGCTGTCTGCTTCCACTTCGTTGGCCCATCTGCCCTCGTTCGCCTCGTGCTAGTCTTCTCTCTACTTACTCTTTTCTTACTTATGCTGCTCGTCTGCCCGTGAGCTCCGCCCTTGTTCCGTATCCTTGCTCTGCCGCTACAATTTCCTTCACCCTCATTTCGCCGCGCCTTCGTGGTTGTGCACGCTCTCTACCCGGCCCCGTCTCCGCCCTACCCTGCTCGTTGCTGCTCTCTCCTTAGCCTGCCCGACGACGCTCCCTGTTTCCCCGTCTCTGCTGCTGTTGCTAACGCTGCTACTACTGCTGTGACATTACGCCTCGCTTTTTGTTTCGGTCTCATCCTCACCGCAACTCTTACCCGCTCCGGCCGACACGCCTCCAATGTATCGCAGGCAGTCTATCCTGTCGCATCGACCCAAAACCTCTTCCGACGTAGACGCTGAATCCTCCTCCTGCGCTGCCAACACCACGAACTTTGGAAGCCACTCCACCCCCAGCAGCGCCAATACCACCACCAACAACACACACGCCACTGCTAACAATACCAACAACACCACGACCCCTATCCCTTCATCGCCGCCCCACACAATGAAGCGGACCATTTCACAGACCTTCCCGGCCCCCTATCATTCCGATATCAAGGACACCAACATGCTCGACGCAGTGAACGAAGCCACAATGTCCATTGACGGCTCTTCACAGCACTCGCAGACAAGCTCCTTCTCGCGCGCCTTTGGTGCCGTTGCCGGAAGCTTCACACGCCAGAAGACACGCAGGCGAATGTCGTCAGTCTCTTCGCCGACACCTGCACAGCGCCGCCGCGGTTCCATTCACTCCCTCTTCGAGTCCCTGCCCTCGTCGAGCTCAGCATTGTCCAAGCCCAGCGCCGATCAACCACGCATGCCCCTGGTGCACCAAGACTCTGGAATCCCCGTCTTCCAAATGCAGCCACAATCCGCCTCGTCGAGCTCAAAGGCCTTTGCTCCCTTTCGGCGACTGAGCAGCATGCGCCGCCGCCCCAATGCTTCTTCATCGTCAGCCGACATGACAAAGACTGTCTTTGCCGCCCCAGTCTCGTACCCCAGCCAAGCCATTCCCGGCACCGCAGCACGACAAGCGGCCGCCGCTGCCAACCAGGACCGACAAAATCAGCTTCGCCGCGAGCAAGAGCACACGCGAAGCTTTCTCGATGGCCTTATTCCTTCATCGCGTGATGACGACATAAAGGACAACGAGAGCGGCGTGGACATGACGTGTGCATCGCCTATTGTTCGGGCGGATAGCGTCACCGAGAAGAAGATGAGTGAGTTGTTGCATCCACTCGCCAGCCGACCTTCGCTAACCACCCTAGTCGATCCCTTCCAGCGTCTCCCAGCCGAACTCGCTACCACTGTTCTCTCCAACCTCGACGCTGCCTCGCTTGTCCGTGCTGAGCGGGTATCGCGCAGCTGGAACGAGCATGCCGCGTCACCCCACGTCTGGCGTAATGTCTTCCTCCGCAAGCACGAGCCCGAAGTACACGTCTCACCTGCGCCAATCCAAATGGGCGGCCTGGGCACTGGCAAGATGGCGGGCGGAAACCCAGCACCTGCACAAGACTGGAAGAAGATGTTCCAGGCAAGAGCCACAATTGACGCCCGATGGAAGGCAGGCACACCTGCTGCCATTTACTTGAACGGCCACACAGATAGCGTCTATTGCTGCCAGTTTGACGAGAACAAGGCCATCACCGGCTCCCGTGACCGCACCATCCGTGTGTGGGACCTCCAGACGTACAAGTGCATCAAGGTATACGGCGGCCCTAACCACCGTCCAACCGCCAACACCCCTCCACCTATGGAGGAGCGACCAGAGCGTGTTATCAGCAACGCTTCGATGAACGGCACAAAGATTGGCAACGACATCTACACAGTCCCCGCTGATTACCACGACGCGTCCATTCTTTGCCTCCAGTACGATAGCGAGATCATGGTCACTGGTTCTTCAGACTACACTTGCATTGTTTGGGATATCACAGGCGAGGAATACGTCCCCATGTACAGGCTGCGTGGTCACGAAGCTGGTGTTTTGGATGTCTGCCTCGACGATAAGTACATCATTTCGTGCTCCAAGGACGCCATGATCAAGGTCTGGGACCGCAAGACTGGCAGCTGTCTCCGCACTCTCAAGGGCCACCGAGGCCCTGTCAACGCTGTACAGCTTCGAGGCAACTTCCTCGTCTCTGCCAGCGGTGACGGTGTAGCCAAGCTGTGGAACCTTGAGACTGGTGTCTCAATCAAGGACTTTCCATCCGAAGACCGTGGCCTTGCTGCTGTCGAGTTTTCTGATGATGCCAAGTACGTGCTCGCCGGAGGCAACGACCACGTTGTCTATAAGTTCGATGCGTCTACCGGCGAGCTTGTGCACAGCAGGGTCAAGCATGACGGCCTTGTTCGTTCGCTTTTCCTCGACGCCTTCAACGGACGCATTGTATCAGGGTCATACGACCAGAGCATCCAAGTCTCTGATTACGAAACCGGTCAGACATATGCTGTATACAAGAACTGGACAACGAGCTGGATTCTATCTGCTAAGAGCGATTATAGGCGAGTTGTGGCTACGAGTCAAGACGGCCGAACGCTGATCCTGGACTTTGGCCACAATGTGCCAGGATCTGAACTGCTCGTCGGATCCAAGTGAGACGTTTCTAGTTTGACCTGCACGCATGCAGTCAAGATCGTGTTTGGAGTCGAGGTCACCAGCCACCTTGCTATTATTCCCACTCACACGGCTCTTCCTGCCTTGCCTCTTTCTGCTCTATGAATATATACGTATTATGACGTTAGCAGACGGCTTGTATGGGAGATGACACTGGTCTCAAGGGTTCCCGTGACGAACTTAGTGGGTTTAACAAAAGTCGAGGATTGCTGGTCCAAGAAAAGAAGAGTGTTGCTTTTTTTGAGTTTGCGTATAGCATGCACATCATGGCGTTGTTCATTACCTTGCAAAACTGCGGGGTGGATCATACTTCCCCCCTTTTTTTCTTCTTCTCTTAATCTCTTGTCACCCACAATCATCATACTTTGCATTATACTAACTTATGCGTGCGGTTCGCATTCTCTTTCTCGCCACCCTCATTCTTGCTCATATTCTGTTTTAGCGGCTTCATAGATTTCCCATTCGCTTTTCCATTTAATGCATTGCTTATCACTTTAGTCATGGCGAGCCGTTCTTTTATCTAGTTTATTTCGGGCATGGAGTGTTGGAGGTATATAGATGTGCAGATGACTGCAGGACGGGCGGGGGAAAATAATACGCTCTTTGATTTCACTGTTATGAACTGTGCATTGCGCCAACGTGAGATTGTGGATGTTATATTGTTGAGTATTATTGCCTGGGACTCTGCTTCAAACTTTAAGCACATGTACGATGTCGGCTTGCACAACATGTCTTTCTTCTTTGCTGGTTCGAAGATTGTGCAACACGTGGTTGGCATTTACCTCAGACGCACAAAAAGCAAACAAGCGTGCCCTTATCATTGTCTTACCTGCACGTACAACGCACAACCACCACGACAGCAGCCCCACACCGACATCGTCAGTACCTCACATTGCATGCATACAAACCCACATTTTTTCCCTTTCCCACTGTCTCCGTGTACGGGTAAGGAAATCAAGACTCTACCTGATACCCTGTAACACCAAAACCAATTCGCATAAAACTTGAGTAGGCTAGGTCATTCGCATATGTTCCCCCTTGCTGTACCTCCACAACAAGTATCATATCGTTTCTGTATCCCCCACATAAAATCAAGCCACAAAGGTAGCCAAAAGAAAATCGAGTAGTGTAGACACAAATACAGCGCTTTTTTTTTCTCTCTTCAGCTCATCCAACTCCCCCACCTCTTTCTCTCTCTCTCTCTCTGAAGCCATTCAATCACCGGGAGAAGAAAAAAACAATCATCGCATTGATGCATTCTCATAATTCACAAGAATATATACACTACTCTCCATCTATCTAGATATACCTACGCCTAGATCCATCTATCCCATCCATCATCCCCGATACTATTAACATCAGCCACCCAGCCAAACTAACCAGTCAACCCCTCCAAAAAAAAAGAAAAAGGCCATCAAAGTCATATACTAGAAGCACAAAAAATCAATAAGCAAAGCATAGTTCCGTGTAGTTCTACCTCACATGTCAACCCCAACAAGCCTAAGAATTCGAACGACGACGACGACGATGATAATGATGATGATGCATAACTAAAGTCAAAAATCTAGATCCTCATACATAAAATACTGATGATGATGGATTTGTAAGTAACATGGCAACCCCTCGGTGGTGTTACTCGGTGCTATACAGCACCAGGGAGTGGATAAGGTTTGCTGGGGGGGGGGTATTTTTAAGGGTGAGAGAGAGAGAGAGAGAGAGAGAGAGAGAAAGAGGCGAGGTGAGGAGGGAGGGATGGCTTGGGTATGCGGGTGAAAAGAGAGATGTAGACATTGCGAGGGGAAGGGGTGGTATGGGTGTAGAGTGGGAATGGTTGGAAATGGTGGTTAAAGTGTTTAGGGTAGTTAGGTGATATGGGGTTAGTTGCTGTTTGTGATTGCTGGCTGATCCGACCTGCTCTGCTTACTCTATCTGTTTGTTGTTCGACCTTAACCCACTGCTGCGATTGCCGGCGGGCGGAGCTGTCGGCCGACCTAGCTTCTCTATCTGCTTTGGTTTGCTGGCTGCTTTAGCTGCTAGGGAGATGAGAGAGGATTCTCATATTCATCAAGTGATTAACGGTAGCTGAGGATGGAAAAAGTCCGAATATCTCAGCATAGCTCTGATCGATATGAGTAGAAGTTCCTGACACTATGTACTTAGATCGCGTGTCTTCTTTCAGAAAACGTCACTTGGACTAATCGTAATACACAGCTAAAATCTCAATAATCACAGCATTGAGAAAACATATTGAACAAAGTAAAACCATACTTTTAAAGGCGTGACAGAGACTCTATTGATCACATTGTATCAACTAGACCCCTAGCCTTCACCCTCTCAGATACACTAACATGGTACGAATCCATATTCACACGCCCACCTATCCATCAAAGGACAGTCCTTCCAGAAAGACAATAAATACACACACGCATACATATGTGCATGTAAGACCAGTTTTAAACAAAAAAAAGGGAGGCATAGAACTGGAGCAGTGTTTGCTCAGCTTGAACAACGCCAAAAGGGTATGGAAACAACCGCATTTCGCTCCTAAGCCCGGGGCCCAAAAGCGATAGTCGTCAGAGAATGGAACACGCCGAACAAAACAAAACACACGTTCAAAGTAAACGGGAACAGAAGCGTAGTTCAAAGAAACCAAAAAAAGGCAAGACATTATTTTTATCGGGCCAAACCAGCATGGGGTGACCGGATTAGGGACAGTATGAGGATGAGCGAGGAAGGCCATTGTCCGACAAAAAATCCAAGGGGTATAACTGAGACTAGATGGCCGACCCAAAACCAGCTGTGAGGTGCAGGCAGGCAAGCCCAAAAAACCAAACAGTATGTGCATTTTCATGCGTGTCGTGAATAAGGTATAAACAAAGAGTAAACAGAGAAGCAGAGGCTAACAGATCGTTCAAACATTCTCGGTGAATTTGCTTGAGCGCGACCCGTCGGCCGAGGGCAAGCTTCTTCCGAGCGTACCTCTAGGAGGCAGTTCGCCGACAGGAGAATGTGGCGGGCTGAGGTGGTGGCGATCTGCAAAAGGGTTCACATCGTCGGGATGGCGGATGATGGGTGTTCTCGCAGGGCTAGGTCGAAAATTCATCTGTCCTGATTCGCGTGGGGCAGAACTCTCGCCAATCTCCTTGCCCATCTCTTTAGATAGAGCTGTGCCGCCATATAGGCCATGGTCGTCTTGGTAGAATGACGAACCGGACATTGTGCCTCCACGAGAGAATTGATCGGACGTCATGCCTTCACTGAATGCAGATGGCAACTTGCGGCCCGACACTCGTTGAAAGCTCCGCTCACCAGCGCTCGTGCTAGTCTCGGCCGTTTTGCCAGACATACCAGAAAAGCGTTTAAGAAAGGCGATAGGGACAAGGGCGCTGCTTGGGGCAGGCGCCTGGGTCATGGACCGGTTACCTTCCTGGTGGTGATCGTCGCCAGTGAGCTGTAGAGCACCGCCTCGCTTCTGCTTGTGGCGTTTCAAAAGAAACAATATCAAGGCCAAGATGAGGGCAACTCCGGCAAGACTCCCTAACACGCTACCAACGACTTTGGGCGTTTCAAGAGCACTAGGGCTGGAGCCGGCGTCAGCGGTCGACGTAGCTGATGTAATTGGAGCAGAGGCTCCTCCAGTGCCAGGCGCATTACCGCCCCAGCCGCCATAATTGGCGGTTGTAGTCGGGTCACTCGAGATAGTTGGGACACTCGAGGCAGATGCAATGCTGCGAGCCGACTGTGAGGAGATTATTGCCTGTGTGAGTGACGTCCTTGTAGAAGCAGGAAGAGACTGTGAACCAGAGGGTGAGCGCGTTGGGATGGCATTGACTGATACAACAAGGTCTGTTGTGGAAGAGGCCGAGATGCTATCAAAAGTGGCCAATATAGAAGACGACAACAATGATGAGGTAGCTGTCAGAGTCAGTGGAGAACAAATGCAGAAATACGGCATGCTTACATGATAGGGTTGTATTGGCGGCCGAGTTGATAGCAGAGGGAAGAGATGGCGTGGCAGTGCTTCCAATCGAGGATTGTGAAGCACTAGAAGTAGATGTAACCACGGGTTGGGCGACATAATTCAGCGACGGAAAAGGATACGCTGGGACAGTTGGGACGACGAGATCGGTGGGAAACGGCGGTACTGCTGGTACAGATGGTAGAACAGGAACAGGTACAGCCGCCAGCGCTGGAGCAGACAGGGTTGGTAGTGCAGGGTCGGGTACGAGTGCCGCAATCGCAGGATTAGGTACAGGCAGTGCGGTGTCAGGCAATGCAGTATCGGACACAGGCAGCGCAGTATCGGGTATGGGCAGCGCAGTATCAGGCACAGATGGTAGCGCAGGCGCAGGCGCAGGAGCAGGAGCAGGAGCAGGAGCAGGAGCAGGAGCAGGCGCAACCGAAGGAAGCGCTAGCTGAACTGGCTGAGCGACTGGCGTGGCAGAAACCATGGCGGCGGCGGTGGTAGCGATTACATCTGGTAAAGATGGTGGTGGTACAGGTGGCAGCGTTTCCTGGGCGATGACATTGCCAGCTTCGTCGACTGTAGCAAGGACTGTGACGATTTCGACATTGTCCAGCACAGCGCGACGGTGGAAGAAGCGATGGCCTTTGCTCATACTCTCTCTGCTTCTGGGTCCGGCGTCAGGTCCTGGGGGAAGGAATTGGTCGTGTGGCTGAGGCTGGTTGGGTGCAGGAAGCCTCTGCTGGGGAGCCTGTTGGGCTTGGTAACTGTGGCGCGAATGAATTCTCGATACGAGGGTGGGGTTGGCAGGACCGTCCATAAAGTCGCGGCAATGTGACCAAAGCTAGAGGGCCAGGGCCAATGATGCAGGCGTGGTGGTGGTGGTGGTGGTGGTGGTAAGGCGGATATATCGGCGGAACATGTGTTGTTGTTTTTAATGTTTCTGATGTTTTCAATGTTTCCTGCAGGTAAAGGAGCGTAGCAAAGTTGAAAGTCCGGAATTAGAGCAGACGAGGCAAGGGATCCAGTCAATGGAGGCCGATGGCAAACACAAGCGAGTGAATGGCGAGAAAGGAGCGGAAGCCTGGTCAGCGGCGAAGCAATGGGGTCTGGCGGGCTGGCGGTCAGTGTGTGGGCGAGGCGAGGTGACAAGCAGCCGAATTGGGCATATACACACACACGCGCGCAAAGGGGAGGCTTCAAGGACGCAGCATGGAAGCGTCAGCGGGCAAAGGAGTGACGGGCGTGAAGGGTGTCGCGCAAACACGAGGGCCTTTTGGGAGGTGGACGGGAGAGGGAGGAGGAGGAGGCGGTAGCGGCAGCAAAGGGATTGTTGGCGTCTGCAATCGGCGACGGGAACGGGCCCTCTGTGGGCGTGGGAGAGGGAGACAAAGAGAGGGAGACTGAGGCAGCGAGGCAGCGAGCACGAGACATGGGGACAGGGCTGGCAGGACTGATTGGTGCACAAGCGAGATAACACGTCCAGGAATAGCAGGATCCGCCCCCGGCAGGGCCATGGACGCGGCTGCCCGTCAGCGAACCAGCGTCCCAATACCGATGCTGCTATGCATGTGCGTCGGTGGATGAGATGATTGTATAACATGTACATTGTATACACCATATAGGCCCCATGAATATCGCCCTCCGTATCTAGACATGCAATCACATCGGAGAATAACATGGCCGCGTCCCACGGTACTCGTCGCCCGTCGCCCGTCGTCTGGCCGGTTGGCCGGTTGGCCGGATGCATGCTACTTACTACTACTTACTAGTAGCCACCACCCGTCCCATCTGCAGGTGCAGGTGCAGGTGCAGCAGTGGTGGCGCCCACGCCGTCGCTCAGGAACCCCATTCCCAAACACTGGACAAGCAGACCCGCAAACGCTGGAGGTTATTCTTAGCTGCCGCTTTACTGTTGTCTCGTCGCACCTAAGCACACCCGACTAACTGCTTTGCTATCTACACGACTCGTCCCACATGTCCTTTTATTGCCAAGCCGCGTTTGTCTTCCGCCCATCGTACTAAGTATCCCCTCAAAGGCCCGTCTCGCCAGCATGCCTATCCTCGTCCTCGTCCTCGTCCTCGTCGTCATCACGACGCTTGTCGCCGCTCTTGCTGTCCACATGCACGAGCGTTGCCTGTCTTGGCTCCAATCTCCGCCGCTCATCACCTCCACCATTAATACGGTATGGCTGCTAATCATTGCCTGCTATAGCACACGTCGTGTACATTTTTGATGACGGCCTATGCCTGCAATCACAACTGTTTTTCCTAGTCCACCACGCCATGTCCATGAAACACATGTTTACCTGCAATGTCACAGCCTCAACAATTGTTTCATCACGTGACTGCCTGGATGCTGCAGTCGGCTCCTGCTAGGCTAAGCCACCTGGGGCCCTGCTGCCCTGCTGCCCTGCTGCTACCCCACATTGCCCCTCTGCCGTGTCCTCCGCCATGCTGCGCCTTGTACCAGGCCATGTATAACATCATCATCATCAACACCATCCCAGTCCCAAAGAAAAAACCGTTGTTCTTTCCCATACCACAATATCCACATGTAGTGATAGTTGCTGCAGCCGCAAGCCACTGCCGCTGCAACCCTAGTCCGCCCAGCCATGACGTCGCCTTCGCCGTTGCCTGCCTTGGCTCCCCCAGAGCACCATACGCGCCCACCACCACTTCCACCGCGGAATTCTACTCCAGCTGAAGACGCGCCCCCTCCCTATTCAGTCATGTCTGCCTCCATGTCCATGTCCTCACAAGATCCACGCTCTTCTTCTACCCAGTCCCTCGTTCCAGACCCCACTCTTGAAAACTCTGGCCGTCGCCGTCTACTCCTCATCTACATCCATGGCTTCATGGGCAATGAAACAAGCTTCAGAAGCTTCCCGGCCCATGTCCATAATCTCGTCACCGTCACTCTTGCAGACTCCCACGTAGTCCACACAAAATTATACCCCCGCTACAAGTCACGAGACTCGCTACAAGTCGCCAGAGACAACTTTTCATCTTGGTACGCTACACGCCTACACGGCTTGCACCCAACTAACAGCCGCCAGGCTCGCCCCTCATGAGGACCCCTGGACCGACATTATCCTGGTCGGCCACTCCATGGGCGGTTTGCTTGCCGCAGACATTGCTCTAGTCTTTCGCCATCGCATCATTGGAGTCGTGAACTTTGATGTCCCCTTTCTGGGCATGCACCCTGGCATTATTAAGGCTGGCCTAGGCAGTATTTTCAACACACCCCCACCCCCACAAGATGCCATTATCGAGGACCCCAGCCCGGGACAGAGACCCAGCCGAATCAACACACTCTTCAACCCGAAGCCAACTGACCCGAATTACAACCCCAGTTTCGCTAATGATGTTCGCCTACCAATCAGAACAGGCTGGGAAAATAGTTTGCACTGGCTCACCAAGCACTACAAAGACGGCCTGGCCGAGGCTACCAAAGGACTTGTAAAATCGCATCTTGAATTCGGGGGTGCCATGGCGGATTACAAAGAATTAAAAGACAGATATGCTAGGATACGGGCGCTGGAAGAAGACGATGAAGCCAAGAGAAAGAATAGTCATCCTATGATGCCCTCGGTTCCCCGGGTGCGCTTCGTCAACTACTACACAGTGAGCACGGGAAGGGCCACGAAGCCAAGTTCTTCATGTGCCCAGCGTCCAAAGTCGCCCGAGCCTTCGCATCCATCGAGCCTTCAGCTTCAGCATCAGGACAGCGGAACGAGTCTCTCACATTACACTTCGACACCTGCCAACCAGCAAGAGCATACTAGAAGCCCTTCAGTAACATCATCTGACCCAGAACTGGCTCACGTACACCCTGACCCTATAGCAAGCTCGCCCCCGACATCTATCGGGGGCCAAGAAGATGCACAAGCCCTGGAGCCTAATCACTCACACACTCAACAAAACGGCCCACCTGATCTTCCTGAAATACCACCCATCCCCCAGGAGCCACCATTTGTTGACTTGGTACGATTCAACGACAAGACCCAACGCAAAGCCGCAGAAAAGGAGTACGAACAGGCGCTCAAGGAGTATCAAAAGTCTGTAAAAGCCCGCAACAAGATCATCAACGAGCGCACTAAAATCGAGGAAAAATGGGAAAAAGAGCAGCGAAAGGCGGAGAAGAAGCGGCAACAAGAACAAGAGAAAATAGACAGGGAACAAGAAAAGGCCGAGCAGAAGAAGCGTGAGGAAGAGCAAAACATGTCAAGAGAGGAGGGGCAGAGGCAAAAGGAAAGAGAGCAAAGGCAAGCCGAGGCTGAGCAGAGAGAAAAGGAGGCGAGACAGAGACAGCGAGAAGCAGATTTGCGTCAGGGAATAACGCCTGCACCAGAAACGCCAGAGGCCATTCCTGCGATTGTGGGGATTGAGGAAGATGTTAGTGCCATGCAGCTGGATCAGTCTGGTCCGCATCGAGGTCCCTATGGGCACTATGAATTTTCCACTAGTCGTATCATGAACCAGGCCTCGCCAGACAGTCGTAACGAATCGATGTATACCCTCTCTACAACCGACAGCCATGACAGCCACCCACCACGCACAGATTCAGATCCAAGTGTCCCAGCCAAACGTAAAAAGCTCAAGAAATTTTGCATGTTGCCACCTAAAGACTGCGACGGAAACAAGGATCCTACCTGGATTCCTGTCTTCATGGAGAACATGGACGAAGTCACGGCACACACTTCTCTCTTCTTCCTCAACGAGACGTATGAGCGACTTGTTGGCGAGGCAGGTGCGAGAATCGAAGAGTGGGTGCGGGAAGCTGATAGCATGCGTTTGATACAGGATATGCAGTATCAAGGGAAATCGTAGCCTGCGCGTCTTGTTTATCAGGTAAAGTATTTACATACCCCAGTCATATCATCATAATATCATCCTACATCCGCCCAATATTACTATTACTATTGTAAAAGACATTACTGTGTAGTCATTCCATAACCACGACCACGACCACGACCATCATCATCATCATCATCATCATCATCATCATAAAAAATATCAACCTCTCCATCCCATTTCCCCTGCTATCCCCCAAACCCTAGCTCCAACTGCCACCACCCAAACTGCCAACCCCATCAGCCCCTCCCCCATCCCAACCACCCACACCCCCGCTGCAACACCCCATCCCAACCCCAAAGTCCCCAACAGCAAAACCACCTTCTCACTCCCCCTGATTGCTTCGTTGAAATCCTTAACGAGTGGAATACGCGTTTGTTCGCGCTCATTCCAGAACCCCGCCATATGCGCGTACGCTAGAGCACATATTATCGTGTTTAGGACTGCGATGACTGGGGGAGAGAGGAGCGCGGCATCAGGTGAGGAGAGGAGGTATAAGGAAGATATGAGAGACACGACAGTCTGAGCGAGAATATATTAGTGGGGCTTACGCAGAAGAAAGGGGAAAGACATACAGCGACTACACCGCTCGCCTGCGTAACTTGCGTTTTGTGGAGTTTTTTTGCTGCCGTGTTGGAGTATTGGGCTGCAGTTTTGCTGGCGGATTCGTAGCGTCTTAGGCGAGATATTGTGGGGATGATGAGGGAGAGCGTGTAGAGGGTTAGGAGGAGGGTGGGGAGGGGGATTATGGAGGATAGCATCTTGGCTGGTAGGTGGAGTTAGGGAGAGAGAAGGGGAATGGGGAGTGAGTGTATGGCAGGGAGATGGTGATGGTGGTGAATGAGGGAAGTGACGTCATTTGAGAAATAAATCTACTAGCACGTAGTAAAGTTCTACTTTACAGGTTTTGACAAGACCAGTAGCGCTCGTGCTATGGAATTGCTAAAATGATGAAATTGCAGAAAGGGGAAAGGGATAGGTTAGTGAAAGTATCTATCTGCGTATGTGGCAAAGGTTGATGGTATAATTAGTATGTAGTACTGTAATTTCGAGACCCCTGGTTGTGTTTTGCCAAATAGCTAACTATTGAAGTGTTTAGTCCTGTATAATTTTACGCGTGTTACACAGATGTTTTACTTTAGACCAGTAGAGGTACCTCCATGATGGGATCGATGACATTCGGAGGTATTTCGCAAGCATTGTTCACAATCGCAAATGCACGATGCCACCCCATGCCACGGCCGATCCAGGACCGACCGGTCCAAGTCCCGCCTGCGGCCCGTTGGCCAAAAAGATCGCCGTCGCAGCAATCACATGCAACGCGTTCCTAATTGGCCGCATTTGGGTTGAGCAATATTATTACGCTATGATGCGTTGGAGACGGGCGAGCTATGGCCGCCAAGGGGAGGTCGATATGCATGTTGAATGCGCGCACGCAGGGCAGTGGGTCCGGCCTGCTCAACCACCATCCAACTGAACCACACAACGGTGGCGGATCGTTTGGATGGTAAATTACTCGCACCATGTGTGTTACTGCTTACGGCCTGGACAGAATGACTGGCGTCTTCAACGGGAGACTTGACACTGCATGAGGTTAGCGACGAATTGCACCGTGTATTGAAGGCGGCCCCCCCTCCAGTCCGTGGGAGCTTACACCCCCCGCGGTTCATCGTCCCCTTGCTCATTGGCTGCGGCCCCACAGACTTCTACCCACGCTCTCGCCGACGCGTTGCGGGCGGTTTTGCGGTTAGATGAGGCATGTTCTTGGAGTGACTGTCCATAGTGGGCTGTCACTCTCTTTGCTCGAGAATTCGACAGCTTTCTTTCACAATGGCTCAGAGAATGCTTCTTCGTGCAAGTGGCCCACGCCGAGTCTACTATGGCTTCACCCGCTCTTTTAGTACTGTTCTCGACACGCCTGTAGATCCGGGCACGCAGCAAATACGCCGGGCGACACCGCGGACGACGGTGTTTGAGAATGCCCTCAATGCAAAGATACCGCGGACAAACTGGACAAAGGATGAGATTTCAGAGATATACAACACTTCGCTGATTGACCTCACCTATGCTTCGGTAGGTCAGATTGCTTCTTGTCCAGCGATATGCCCCTCTCATCAGTCTCGTAGGCCTCGGTCCACCGCCGGTTCCACGACCCCGCTGCTATTCAGATGTGTACCCTCTTCAACATCAAGACAGGCGGCTGCAGTGAAGACTGTTCCTACTGCGCCCAGTCGTCTCGCTACGACACTGGGCTCAAAGCCACCAAGCTCAGCTCCGTCGAATCCGTCCTCGAAGCTGCACGCATAGCCAAAGAAAACGGCAGCTCGAGATTTTGCATGGGCGCCGCGTGGAGAGATATGCGGGGCCGCAAGACGAACCTGAAGAACATCAAAGAAATGATCAAGGGCGTGCGTGGCATGGGCATGGAGGCATGCGTAACGCTCGGCATGGTCGATGCTGCTCAAGCAAAGGAATTGAAAGATGCGGGTTTGACGGCTTACAATCACAATGTCGATACGAGTCGCGAGCACTACCCTAGCGTCATCACCACGCGTACGTACGACGAGCGACTCAACACCATCAAGAATGTCCAGGAGGCCGGTATTCACGTGTGCACTGGTGGCATTCTTGGTCTTGGGGAAAAAGCGCGTGACCACGTCGGTCTCATCCACACTGTAGCTACATTACCCGCCCATCCCGAGTCCTTCCCCGTCAACGCCCTGGTCCCCATCAAAGGCACTCCCTTGGGAGAAACCCAAGCCATTTCCTTCGATGCCATCCTTAGAACCATTGCTACAGCAAGACTGGTGCTTCCCACCACCATCATCCGCCTCGCGGCTGGCCGCCACACCATGCGTGAGGAAAAGCAGATTCTGTGCTTCCAGGCGGGTGCGAATGCCGTTTTCACGGGCGAGAAGATGCTTACGACGGCGTGTAATGGGTGGGAAGAGGACAAGGCTATGTTTGAGAGGTGGGGACTTAGGCCGATGAAGATGGAGGAGACGATTGGGGAGAAGCGCAAGGTGCCTGGGCAGGATGAGGCGGAGGCTGTTGTTGCGGCTGCGGAGGCGGAGGCTACGGTGCAGGCACTTGCTTGAGGGGTGATGTATAGATGTAGTGATTAGGCTCTGTAATAATGAGCTCTTCAATGTGCTGCTGAAGCCCAACTCATGTCGTGTAACTTGTATATCATGATCAAGATATGCTTCCTGCGTTTAGAGTCTTGCTCTCTTTGATGGGTCAAGGGGTTGGCGTTCCGTGTTCCCTTCAGCTTGACTTTCACACCACCTCTTGAGCGCCAGTACTAGTTTCTCAATCTCTGCCACTGTATTTCCGGCATGCAGACATATCCTGACTCTTTCTGTGCCGATGGGTACGGTCGGTGATACAACAGCTCTCACCATCATGCCTTGCTCTTGCAGTGAGCTCGCAAGTGCTTTTGGATTCGTCAACTGCACTGCGAAGATAGGTGATCTAGGACACACTGACGGGATCTTCAGTAAACGGCACGCATGGCTAGAAGTCTTCTGAAGTCCCTCAAGCTTCGCATACAGCGTCCGGATGAGGTCATGAAGATTCGCCTGCAGCTTCTCGCTCTGACCCGACTTCAGCATCTCGTAAGACGCCTGTATAAGAACAAGTGACGGATACGAAAGGAAAGTCGTATAAATCAGGGGCCGCGCATAATTAATCAGATAATGCCGCAACGTATGCGAGCCCAGAAGGATAGCTACAACATCATTCAGCAATGCCCTCTCAACCCCCTTGCACCGCTTCAAAAACTTACCTCCATTCCCCGCCAACGCCTTCCCAAACGTATGCAACCGCGCAAACACCCTCCCTTCCAACCCCAACTCACTCACCAGCCCGCGTCCCCTCAGCCCCAGCACCCCCGTCGCATGCGCCTCATCAACAACTACGTACGCTCGCTCCTTGCCCAGCACCTCCTCCGCCACATCCACCATCTCCCGTAAAGGCGCAACGTCCCCATCCATACTGTACACCGACTCTACCGCGACGAAAACATTGCACCGTCCCGCCTTGTCCCTCTCTGCCTCCAACACGCCCCTCAGTGCTTCAATGCTATTATGCCGGAACGCCACCCTCCTCGCCGCCCGAGACAACCTCATCCCATCATGCACGCTCGCATGCACCTTTTCGTCGTACACCACTGTATCCCCTTTCTGCGGCACCGCCGCGAAGAAACCTGCGTTGGCGTCGAATCCGCTGTTGAAAAGCAAGCCCGCATCTGCTCCGTGGAAGGAGGCGATGGATGCCTCGAGGGATTCTGCGAGGGCGGAGTTGCCGTCGAGAAGGCGGGAGCCCCCGCTGCCGAGGGGGTGGTGCGGGAGTAGGGAGAGGAAGAGGGCGCGGAGGGGGTGCGAGGTGGAGAGGGAGAGGAAGTCGTTGGAGGAAAAGTCGATTTGATGGGGAAGGGGGAGAGAGAGGGTTCGGAGGGTGGAGTGGTGGAGGCGGGAGGTTAGGTGGGTGTGGAGGGTTTGTTCTAGGGGTGTGGGTGGGTTGGGCATTTTTTGGGGGGGGGGGGTTTCCT